TACAAAATACTATAATCTCTTTTGAATTGTTACTTTTTAGATGCATAAAAATGTTATTTAACATAATTGATAGCAGTGCGGTCCTGTAGTCTCATCTGTTTCATGTTTTTGCAAGTGCATACCTTGTGTACCTTCATGTTTTGGTGTAAATGTTACACAGCCATGGTTGTAAAAGTTGGTTTAATGGAGCGAATCTGTTGTGGATTTTTAATTGCTTGCTTTAAGTTGTATTATGAGCTAAGCTGTGAATTGCAAATTCTCAGTAACAACTCTCATATCATAAAAACAACAAGAAAAAAATACAGAATTAAAAAAAAAATAATGAAAAATCACTAATGTTTCCAAATGAGCGCCAGTTTCGGCTGCACACACAATCGACATTTGAGCATATGGCGGCGTTACGGTCACACAGTGTACCCACTGCACACATAAATCGCACACTTTAAGAGCCACTCACCCAGCAATATGAGGAAATGTCATTTTAAAGTTAGCCAAACCCCTTGAACTCCACCCATCCAGCCTTCTACCAAACACCACCCAGCCTGTGCAGAATTTATCTCTGATTTCAAGCTGCAACGCATTAAAACTCTTCCTCAGATGACTTCATCATGAAACCAGAGCTCTTTTAAAAGCATCATTAACCATGACGACTGCAGGGCTGCGTCTGTCATGTGGAGCCCCGCTGAGCGACTGTTGTCCCGCTATTGGCTGTTTTTTCGCCCTCCTCAAACTATACTGGAGACGCTGGAGCGTGTGAACAAATGTTTTTCTTTTAATGTTTCTATTTCTAAACGTTATATAATTTCACTGCACGGGCCAATATTTTGTGAACTCTAAAAGCACTGTGTTGAAAATGAGGCATGTAATAACCTCTGTTTTTTTGCTCTCGGTGCTCATGAGAGCTGCTGGACCAGGTGCTGAGGTCAAGTCAGAGGGCAGCTGAGTGAGGAGTGAGAGTTCCTTTTTTGGGGAAAAGCTTTCACCAGTGGAAGCAGATTCTCTCTTCTCCTCCCTGCAAATATTTTCTCTGCTGTCTGCCCTCTTCAGCAATCCCCTCACCACCACCACCACCACCACCACACTCCTGCCGGGACAGAAGCACACCACTCCTGCCATTCCAATCAGTCAGGCCAACATTTGCTTTGCTGAGCCTTCAAGGAGTGGTAGGGGTCATCATCTGCTTGACTGCTATTTGCACCCCTCTCCCCCCCTCCTCTACACACTTGTCATGCCAGCAGCTCTGAGGTTTAAGGAGCAGATCCACAGAGCTGCTCTGTTCCATTCAGCTGCAACCTGTGTGACAACTGCTCCTCACCGAAGAAGAGGCTCAGAGCCGGAGAGAGCATTCTCACTCTGGGACAGACGGCGAGAACATCTGAAGCTGATCCTCTCCTTTAAGACTTTTCTGTCTTGCAAGTTCTGGACTCCTTGCGGCTGAACCTGCACTGTGCAAAGTGGAGGTAGGAGATGCAGTGTGGGTGTGTGTTTGTGACTCAGCCGAGGATATTACCTCATAGAGGGATAAGCTGTGATTGAAGAGGTCTGACAGAGGTCTCTCCCTGTGACTCCATTACCGCCGGGCCTCTTATCTGGCCAGATTTTCTGTTCGGGTTCAGAGGGGAAGTTTTGACAGCCAGGCTTTACAGCCCCCTCTCCGCTCTGTCGCTCCTGACAGAGAGAAAGAGTGAGTGAGAGAGAGAGAGAGAGAGAGAGAGAGAGAGAGAGAAGTGGTGACTTCATCCCTTCTCATAACCAACCCTCCTCTCTCCCCCCTCCTTTTTTCTGAGCTTTCCTTTTTTTTTTTTTTTTTCAAGACTTCAGCGCAGCTCAGTCAGGCAGCATGCCAGCAGTTTTCATCTTGCTGCGGTCCCTGGTTATCAGGCTCCTCAGTAGCAGACTGGCAGGCTCAGTGGCACAGTTCCTCCGGAGAAGCCTCTCGACAGGCGCTGCCCACCTTGGCACGGCCCTGCGCCACATCTGGGACCGCGTCCGATCCCAGGAGTCCAAGGAAGCTGTCCTGGGCTGCGTGCTGTGCATTCTCAACATGCACAAGAAGGTGGAGAACTGAGCTTTTTTTCTCTCTCCACGAACTGTTCAACCCTCCACTTGCCTGCTGAAACACAGACTGGACAGCTGTTTAGAGAGGAGAGTGTACAAAGGGATGTGACAGACTTTTTTTTTTTTTCCCACTTTGGACTTCAGTAATTGTGTTTTCTGTTTGGGGACACTGGTCATGTCTGAAAGCATTGTGAGGAAGGTGCAGCCCTTCACCATTGGGACAAGGCTGTCAGTTCCCACTGTGCCAAAATGCCAGGAGTTTACACAGACTTATCTGCCCAGCGAGGCTCTGGATAACTGCGTGTTACAGCACAACCTGAACTCGCTCTACCTCAGTCGGTCACAGGTCTGTGCACATGGCCCCTGTCTGGTCCCGCCGATTGTCAAGCAGGTCGCTCCAGTGAAACGTGACCAGGAGCACATGGCAGCAGAGGACCAGCTGAACCAGAATGTCGCCTCGGCTTCTGCTGTGTCCAGATCCATTAAGAAGATCACGATCTCTGGGAGTAAAGACAAATCGGAGGATAAGACGACAGTGGGACCAGCTCAACTTTCAATCACAGGATCTACATCTGAGAACAACAATAACAACAACAACATCACCAGCAGCAGCAGCACGTCGGACCCACTTCTGCCCAGGATTGTGGGAGTGAGCTGTGAGAATAAGCCTAATTCTCAGTTTAAGGTACAAGACATTTACTAATGCAAATAAGCAAACCTAACAAGAAAATCAGAAACATCACACATGATGAAGGTGTGCTTTTTTAAAATTTAGCAGCATACTAAAAACACTTTTTGAAATTAAAAAAATACACAAACTAAATACATTTTTTTACAGATATTTTCAAAGTGATGTGTCACATTACATTTATGTGGTAGCATATTTAATTTTAACTGATTTAACTGTTTAATGCTGGTGTTATATGTACAAGCAAAGAAATTAACCTCAAATTTAGAATAAAAAGTCAACATTTTAACCCTCAACAAACAGAGCAAATGTAGCAACTAGAAGAGACCAGATGTTTTTTCAATCGCTGCCACTTTAATTAAATGGGGTTTTGAGGAATTGCTTCTCATGGAATAATCTTTATGACACATAGTTTGACAAAATCTATCCCAGCAGAATACAGAATCTCAAAGCTGTTAATGAAATTGGTGGTTAACGGTCGAGATATTTGTTTTAATATGTCTAAATGTAAGACTTATTGATATTAGTCATCGGCACGTGGACTTCCAGACCCTGTAAAAATGTTAATTGTGATTTGCAACTTTCCTGCCTTGGTTTTTTTTCTCTCTCTCTCTCTCTAACTTGTTCCACTCATTTATGGCTCATTTTCTTCACTACCGGCTTCTAATTTCATCTTTTATTTTTTTTAGGTTTTACTCAGAAAAGACAGCAGTGATGAATTTCATGCCAGGCTGGAACAAACCAAGATGAAAATGAACGGAGAAGAATCCGTCCAACAGGTAAGATGTTAGAAACTGCTCAATTAAAAATAGCAAGTAGTCAGCTTTAAGGGGAAAAACTGCTTTATTTCAGCAAAACATGAAAGTTTAGTAAAAGGTCTATTATAAGCAGCCTAAAATGTATTTTTTGTTATCGAGAATATTGATAATGATGTAATTTTTTCCAAACTTTACGCAGACTGTAGGAAAACAGTTGTTTTGCTGTGTTTTTATAGCCAGCTGTGTGTTGATTAATCTCTTGGAGTTTAGGAAGTGAAGTCATGGGTCTGTGTTCGCCAAACTTACTATATTATATATTTGGAGCAAAGTTACACAGAGGTGGAAAATGAGTTATAGGAGCAACGTGTCTTTGTTTAAATGCCTCGCAGATGCCCAAAATAGCAAAGTATACAGAACATGTAGAGCAAAAGTATATTATAGGATATTTTTTACCGTCTGTGGGCTGTTGGAGTTGGTCTATTTCTCGTTGAAGTCATCAGTGTGTGTTGTGGATGAAGTTGCTGTGTTAACAGCAGACCTTGCGAAGGCAGGGCTCACTGGAAAACATGAAGTCAGGGAAGATGTTAACAAAAGAAAAGGCTCGCTGCAGTCCTCATGGAGGCCGCTGGTTAGAATAACACACTGACACAGCAATGGCCTCATTTCCCCTCCTAGAACCAAAAAAACCACAGTAATCTTTCACATCATTTCTTATTCTGTAACCACAACAATACTTTGCTTTTACTCCACTCATTTATTATTCATGCAAACAGCCAAGAAATGTATCTAATTACACTTGAGCATGTGGCGTTGCCTTCACCTGCGCAGGTAGGAGAGCGTGTACACCTACCAAAGAGGTGATGTGTTTACATGTGAGGCTGGAAGAATGACAGAGATCCAAGGATCTGTCCGTCCCTGCTTCCTTTTTGTGCCCAGATGTTTCCTGATTGGAGAGCAGCAGGAATGCTCGTCCATTAGTGAAGTTGTGCCAGTCGCGTTTAGTTCGTCTCACGTAGTGCTGACAGTGGGTTTTTGTTAACAGGGACCTTGGGGCCAGTCTGACACGTGTTTGTAATGTCTCTGGATGGTAAACAAAATGCTATAATCAACACAGAGTGGACACTTAAGCATCCCCCTAACTGCTGGGTGATTAGAGCTGGAGAGCTGCACCTCTTTCTCATAGGTTTTTACCAAGCTTCATCTGGTGTTCAGTTTTAGCTAATTAAAAAGGGCCAATGTTGCTGTCAACGCTTGTGCGTTCACACAGGTTTCAGTGCCTGGACTGAAGAAGAAAGAGCCTCAGAGGAAGGAAAGTCATCCACACACCCAGAACGAAGTACTGGCAGCTGTTACATCCCAGAGTGACTGCTTCACTCAGCGCAACTCGCTCTTCAACAAGGAAGTAGTGCAGGTAAAGAGAAGCATGCACACACGACATCACCATCAACGGTATTTCAGGAGGTTTATCACATGATCTGTCTTTCACTCCTTCTCATGAAAGGCTGGTTTGTTACCTCACATCTAATAAAATGTCCAAAGAGATGCTTTTTTCCTCATCCGCTTCTTCAGAATGTGCATATTTTTCAGATGAAATTGTTTTAGAATTAAACCTCAGTAAGCAGCTTATCAGAATCTCTCATCTCCTCTGATGTGAATGAAAAGAAGCTGTGGAGTGGGCTCATCGCAAAAGCAGCAAGCTGTGAGATGAAATCAGAAAGGAAGCTGCCTGTCGCATGACCCTCGAGAAGAGAACAAAATATGTACTGGTTCTTATTTTGTCCCAGGAACTGTATGAGCTGTGTTCGGCTGAGGGAAGAGAGGGAGGGGAAACCGCCACAAGCAATTATTTAGGGATGAGATCATTGTTTGGCTCCATCTCTTCACGCCTATGGCCCAGAGAGAGTCAGCCAAGCAGCACAACTGGTTGTGTTATCTCATCGCTGCGTCCACCCCGGCGCACAAGGACATTTTTCAGCAAGTTCGGCTGAGGGACATTTTGTCCAGCAGTTTTCCAGCTTTTTTCCTCAGACCTCTGTTGAGCAATCGTCCAAGTGATAGGCGTTTACTTCCAGAAATAAGAATTTAATTTTGGACGTGTCGGCTGAAGGAAACATATGATGTATGCATGTGTTGAAAACAGCTCTGTAGCACGTTGTTAACAAGCTTAGCAGCCCCTTTTGCTCTGAAGTGGAGTTTCTGTCACTCTGAAAGGAAACAACCTTTTGTATTTTAACTTTTTGAGCTTTAAATAGTCAGAGGTTCTGGTACCAGGGGACTTGCTCGTTTTACAGCGATTCGGTTGACTGCTATCACTGAAGAAAAAGCATTATTACAGTATTACATTGCTGTGAAAGTGGAAGCGAGCTTTCCAAGGGGAGACTTTTAAAGGCCCCTAATGGTTAAAGCTGGGAGAGCAAAGCAGGTCACCACATGGAGACGCATGACTTTGTCGAGAGCCATCTGTCTCCAAGGCTGCTCTGCGAAATGTCTCGCCTTTCACCGTTTCATTTTCATGATAGAGAAAGTAGAGAAACTTCTAACTCCCACTGCATTTTCGGAGCCAAGTTACATTACTAGAGAGGCATGTTGATCGACATTTCATAAAGTGCAAAGATGAACACACTCTGTCCTCGTTTTCACCTAAAATGAATTATTTGAAACTTGTGCGCTGTAGATCATTTGAAGCTAATTCAGCTTGGAAACTTTAGCTCCCCCGCTGCCCTAAGATGGGGAGATAACTGAACTTTGGTTGATTAACTAGTTTAAAGTCATGTTGTGAGTTGTAAAAGCGTAAAACTAATTGAGTTAAATAACTGAACTTGAGAGAACAACTTCATTCAACTTAAGATATTAAGCTGCATCAAGTAGTCACATAGACAATGGTTACACAGACACACCTGCTTTTTCTTACATTTTTCTAAATTTAAAGAAATGTGTTATTCTTTTTTTAAAATTGAGAAAATTCTGCCTCAGATTTTGAACCAGAATCAGTATCAAAAAGATCTGTGAAGCTGCTTTTGGTTACAGTGAAATAAATTACAGGTCTGCAGGACTGATGTAATGTGTAATGCTAACTTTTATTATGGTAAGAATATTTTTTGTTATAATGAAAAAAAGACGTAACCATTGCTTCTTTTAGCTTATAATAAAGACACACACAATATCTGTTTTGTCAAACTACAAAAAGAAGATTCTCTGGGGAGTTTTAATTCTCTAACAAATCAATAAATCAATAGAAACCATTCTATTCTATTCTATTCTATTCTATTCTATTCTATTCTATTCTATTCTATTCTATTCTATTCTATCCTGGGAAGTCTGCTTATATCCTAGTTTTGTTTATCCTAAACTGAATTTAATGAATTATGTAAACTGTCAACTGCTCAGTTCATTCAAAACATCATCTTAAGGGGCGCTGTGACCTGGTTGAGCTGGTGTCCCATGTACAGGGCTTAAAGTCCCTGATACAGTGGTAGTGAGTTCGAGTCCAGCTCATGACCCTTTGCTGCAGGTCCTTTTCCCATTCTTCTCTGCTGCTTTCCTATCTCACTCTTCACTGCACTATCAAATAAAGGCAAAAAAGGCAAATAAAATTATATAAAAAAAAAACAAAACATGATGTTAAATCACAATGCTTTAACTTATAAGAATTCATGATTTTAAGTTCTAAAGTGGTCTGAAAGTCAATAAGTGAATTAAAAAAGACAGCTGATTTGACAAACTTCCTTGATGATGTTTTATAGTCTAGAAATGAAAAGCAGTGTGAAAAACAGCACTTTCTCTCTACAGATTACAATCTCCAGATTTGTCCGGTGTTGAATGCAATGATGTTTTCCTGTGCAGCCACAAAAAAAAAAAATTAGAAGTAGTGACACAGTTTGAGCTCCATGCGTTTAGCAGTCTGTTCTTTGTGGCCACACTAAGGCCCAACTGTACATTTCGATAAACAGACCATTGTTGCAGAGAGTGGACAGGAAGAAACAAGGGAATCATGGGCTTCCTCTATGAGGTCATTATAATGCCATGGGAGCCAGTGTGAAGAGATCGGGGCAGGCCTGTTTTGTCAAGTTCTTTTCCTTCTGTTCAACCCAGAAATACCTCCGCTGCCCTGAGGGCCTTGTAAAGTTAATGACCTGCTTCTCTGGGGAGAAGTGACATCATATTTTAATCTACAGCAAAAAAAAAAAAAAAAGTTGTTTGGTGGATGTGTCATGTGTGGTCTTGATGTTTTATTGATTCAAACGCAGGGTTGCTATAGAGTCTGTTATTCGATGTCAGTCATACTACATTCCTGAGGAAATAGTGCCTTGAATGTTACAATGACTTGTTTGTGTGTTTAACTGTTATTTGACATTCTGCACCGTACACAAAAGCAACTCTGTGAGAAATAAAGCTGATCGTATCGGTTGTTTAAATCATTCGGGATCAGTCTGACAAGCGAGCTGATTTATTAATCCATTCATTTCTTGTGGCGTAGGAGGGTCACTGACTTCCATGCTGTGTTCTCTGCCGAAAACAAACATGTACTTTCCAACACTTTCTGATTTTGGCCACCTGGTTTGGCCTTCTCACTCAGTGCAAAAGTTTTGCCAGAAAAGGCAGCTCCACAAGACAAAGCCTTATGCAATGGAGCGCAGGCACTTGCCAAGAGAAACTTCTGCTCTGCATAACATGACATCGGAGAACAAAGAGCTGTTCTTGATGTGCCTGAAGCTTCGTATTACTCCGAGGCAGGGAGGAAAAAATGTTCTGTTTGCTAGATGTGACGAACGCTTGGAGTGTACAGTCACACAGCGGATATAGCACAAACTACGGGGTGTAGATGAGCTTCAGATGGGGAAGTTCTATATATAAATTTAGCTGAAACACTGGGAAATGTCTGACACTAGTTTGAGCATGTTTATTATTGATTAACACAAGTACATTTAGCTGGTCACAACATGTTTTTTACATGTAGAGTGTATCATAACTTTACTTTTTGGGGAAGCAAATCAGTTTTTTGTCAGACTGTTATTTTATTAATGCTCTTTTCACTGTGTTGTGGTAAAACAACACCCTCCTCAGCCATCCTTAGCCATGTTGTATTACATCAGGACTAAAATTTCAACTCACTAACTATGCACATTGTAAAGCATATCTTAAACTACTTTTTCTGTGTCTGTTTGTGACGCAGGCAGAAGCATGGATCAAAGGCAAGTTGCAGGACCTGAAGGATGGATGTAATATTCAGTGCTGCCCCCTGCAGGACTGGGAGGAAGCCTCGCAGACACTTCAGAGAGACCTCAAAGACTTTGAGAACACCCTAATTCAACTCAACCAGGTAGCAAAGTGATTCGACACAGGCGGGACTCTAACTTAAACACTTCAGAGTAACCAGAGCAAGCACACCAGAGGTCCAAAACGAAATGTTTATTTTACCTTTTTAACACATAATGGAGATCTGAATGCAACCATTAATCACTGTCTGTTGTGCTAAAAGAGCCTGTCAGATCACATAACACATAACATAATGGCCTTGTAGGCACTTCCAGGCAAGAGAAAAGCAGAACCCTTGGTGTTCCAGACGGCCCTGTCAAGCCAGTTTATACTTTCTCCCTCCGGAGAAATGTCTGGAAATTGAACATTGGTCATAATTAACCTACCTCGATACTTGGGCGGCCCAGGAAGAGCAGAGGCAGAACTGGGAGATTTTTCAAGGATACATCCGAGTCATGGCAGTTTGAGGTGTCAGATGGGTTCATCCTCTGCTCCATGTTAGTCTTGTTACTGCATCTGTACAAAAAAAAAAAAAAATGAAAAGGCTTTGTGTTTCTTTATGTTTCTAAAGATGGGTGAGCAGTTGATCTGCAAGCTGAACCCCACATCTGATCTGGTGAAGAAGCAGCTCAGCCAACTCAGGGACCAGTGGCTGACCCTGAAACAGATGGCTGCAAATCAGACAAGAGCCCTCGGCGGAGCCAAGAACCTGCAGGAATTCAACAAAAAAGTGGACAAGCTGGAAGCATGGATTAAAGAAAAGGTAAAAAAAAGGGATCCTGGTCTTCTTCTGTTTTAATGCTAAGTGGACAAAAGAGGTTTAATTGCAGAGAGAGGAGCCAATTTTACTTAGCTACTGATTAGAACCTTTGCAATTTTTGCTCTTCTTCACAAATGTAGGGGTTTTATTGATGATGTTGGCATGTTCTAGTGGTTTTTTACTTTTCAAATTTATCCCTAATGGGAAATATGTGACTTTGTTTTTATGATTTCTTTTATAAAGTTGCTCCTTCATTTAAATTTCAGAATTCCCTCTGTACTTTCTTGCCTGCAACCCCTTTCTTATCTCTTCAAATATCTTCCTCTCCTCTTCCCATTCATCTAAACAGAAAAGTCTGAGCTAATGAATCTCTCTGAATGTAACGATAATACCAAAAACAGTCGGCCCAGAGGCAAATCTGAGTCCGCGGACAGCTCTAATCAACAGTTGTCAAGATAATTGGCACAAAAAAAAAAACGGCACTTGCTAATACAGGAAATTAGCTCAGTATCCTGAAGACATCTCTTGTTTGTGTATATTCACCGGTGTACAACATCTGCCTGTCATTATCAAAAAAGCAATCATCTAGTGCATTTTCAGCCTGTGTTTATCTCTCTGTTCATGTCCGTGTCTGGCACAAGGGAACTGATGATTGATAATGGACCTGTGGGAATGTAATGGAGGATGTTGCTTATGAAGTCTATAAAACATTCATCCTTACAGGAGATGTATTCTCCATTCAGTTCCACTCATCCTTTCCTCTGTGCATTAGTATTAAGTTCAAAGTTTCTCTCCTTGCGCTGAAGGCTATTTCTGTTTAGCATCTTCCTTGGTAGCAGGAGTAATGCAGTTTAATCCTGGTGCCTCTAAAAAGAAATAATGGTCGGGTTCCTAACAAATGGGGGCTATAAACACTGACTTTTATGTGTGCCAGCAGGAAGAGGAGCAGTCTCTGGTGAATGTCCTGGGGGAAAATGTTGACAAAATGCAGTTGACCAGGAAGATATTAGATCTGAAACAGGTGAGCACTGGGAACAAGCACTAATAACAGGACTAAAAAAAAAGAAAAGAAAAGAAAAAGCATTATACATGCTAAACAGCATTCTTGAGTTAAAAATATATACATTCCCATATGTTAATGGTTTGATTTACAATTTGGTTGAGGTTTCCCAGTCGTTTATCTATGGCTGACTGTAATTTGTCTCCCAGGGTGTACGGTAAAGACAGTTGAGGTCATAGTTGGATTGTGTTGTGCTGTTTCCCTGCAGGATGAGCAGCTACACAGGAACCTTCATGAGGAGATCAACAACTTGGCACTAAAACTGGAGAAACAAGGGAAGACAGATGGCAAAAACATCTCCAGCAGGAGGAAACAAATCAATAAAATGTACATTCCCCCCCCTCCTTTAAGTTGATCTGGTATGCAGCATAAAACATCTTCAAACTACGCTGATTGAAGATTGAGCTCCTTTTTGCTGTCATCTGTAGGTGGCTGAAGGTCCAATCTCATCTGAAAAACTACCATGAGAACCTTCATCTGGCTCTAGAGGTGTCCTCGTTCTACCAGCAGGCTGATAACACATTGTTCGCCATTAACAACATGGTAAAATTGCCTCAAAGTCTATTATAGATTTCTTTTTTTAACCATCCCAGTGTTACCTCAGAGATTCTACTCACGTCATATATTCTTTCTTTCAGAGGAAAAGCATGGCTGCGTCCAAAGAGCTGGAAAACTTTGGAGACAGAGAAATTCGTGACATTGCCAGTCAGATCATGGTAAGAACAGTCGTAAGCGCTGCCTTGTCAGATCCTGAAAGTGTGTTGCAAGAAGCCTTCTCTGCCTAACCTGCAGGCCTGTGTGTGGTAGATGTTAGATGTAAGCGTGTCCCAGCTGTCTAACCTCCATCCTGCCCTGGCTGCCAGCGTCACACAAAAGCAGAGCGAGGTGAAGGACTGCTGGACGCTTCTTCAGAAGGTTTTCAGGTATGTCGGCGGGCCAAGGATACCACTGACAACTATGGTGGCCTTGCATGCATGCGCCATTTCACCTAGTAATTGCTCCTTCACTTCAGGTTTTTTTCACTGAGCTGAAACTGTAGTTTTCTGTTATTTCTCTACCAGTGCCCTCCATGAAAATTATGCACTGGCAAAAACTGAGAAGGAGTTTTCCAAATGAAAATGAGCTGTGTGCGAATACTTTTCTCCCCCTCTTGATTAGCCTTGTTTAATTTGGGTTGGACTCTGTGAAAAATTGTAAGCAGAGTGAAGGACTGGTAAGACTAGATGTCTGGAGTCCAGTAACGTTCACCGCCCGCTTCTTGGTTTATAATCTGCACTTTTCTTGCTTTGGAGTTTGGATTGCAGTTGTAGGTGAATAATGTTTTGGCGACGTGTCAAGTTGACGCCATGGATTGGACTCTTCTCACTGTTAAAATCCTGACATCATCTGAAACAGCCTGCCGAAGCTGAGATACAACACGTTTACAAGAATATTTTGTAATTTTTATTGAATTTGTAAAACTAATTTATTGTTTCTATAATAGCCTACAGTATGTATCCAGGCCTTTACATCATTAGAACATCACAGGCCATATCTACTTAATGAGTACAACCACATTTCATTGCTGTGGTAAAATGGAAACCCAACTATAAGAAACTGCGTTACTGATTGTGCGCTGTGGTCCATACAACACAAACTAGCATTTGTTAAAGACCTAGAAAAGCAAAATGTGGCATTTTGTGGAATAATGTTCAAAATAGAAACTGTGATCTTTCGGGAAGCAACAGGAAATTTCAAGGCAGTCTGCCCGTTAGTTTGTTTGTTTCTTCTATAAAAGTGGGAGCTTTGAGGCGATGGTGGTCTAAAAGAAAAAGTCTTTAAACGATAACTATGTTACTTTGTTTTAACAATTCATCTATATATGAAGCTTAATATTATACTTTGAATGCTTAGCTCAGGGACTGTGAATATTCATGCCACGTGTCATATCAGTCTGACCAATGTATAATATTACAATTCTTATATTCAAAAAAAAAAGCGACTGAGTTGTTCATAATAATAAATTTGGTCAGGAGTAAGTCAAGTTCACAGTTCTGACATCCATCTCCAACATCTCAGCCTTCCAAGAATTTCTCAGGCTGTGAGCCTTTCATGTCAGCAGCCTATCTTTAGATCCAAACATTACATCATTCCCTCTTATCAGCTGCGTTTCATGACTATTTAAACCAAATAACACAAACACTGGTATAAAACTCCAGAGCCATAATTGGAGCGAAGCCCCGCTGTCAGCACCACAGTAACCTCCGACTCTGCTTGCCCCGCAGGAGCGACAGGACCACACTCTCTCTCACTGGCTCCGCTTTCACCAGGGAAGATGCTGACCTCCTGACACCGGCCCGAGAGCCTCAGTGCATCATGGGAATGGAGACACATGGGATCATGGGAAAGGAGGTGAAGGAGGAGCAGAATCGCCTGAAAGGCTATGTGGTAAGTAGCTTCGGTATTTCATTCTAATACTGGAGAAACCACACTGCGGCTCTCGAGTAGGAGAGAACAGCTCCATCAGTGTTGGCAAAAGATGAGACCAGCCCCTTTCAGTCCTACGAAAGCTTGTGGCTGCACAAAGTGACGCACTTTGTCCTTTGGTTTGGAAAATGCCTGATTTACAACTTAATTTACTTATTTTTCCAAAATAGAGTCTGACAGATGTGCTGTTGAGCAGCGGTTTCTAGTCTTGGCACAGAGCATGCTGCTGGTTTTCTGTCCTACCAGCTAGTTAGTTGCGCTTAATTACAACTTCTGGTGTCCCAGTTATGAGGAATCCCTTGATAAGACGGTTGGATCGTCTCTAAAACTCAGACACCAGTGCTGCTGAGAGAGCATGTTACTTTGCTGTCTTCTCTATCGCCTAACAAGAACTCCAGTCTGCAAATGTTACAAATATTACGCTGTCACAGGAGTCACAGGAAGAGCTTTGAGAGGTGTTATTTGTCCTGGCCAAAGAATTACATAAGCTTCCATTAAAAATGTCAAGTTGTGACTCCACAACATGGCTGAGCAGTGGGCCAATGCAAATAAGTCTTTGCCTCCAACCCAAAATTTCACTTTGGGGTAGAAAAATATCTTGAATTTCAAACATTCTAACAAAAGTGCAGTCACTGAATTGATGCAGTATTAATAGATGGTCTGTGGTTCAGTGCATGGTGAGTGAATAATCTAACAGAGCATGTGGATTCCTCACACAAGACATTCCTCTTCTTGAAGGCTACTTTATTGAACACGTGGGTTCTCCTATAGTAACCCCATAACTGCCCATTAAAGTACAAGGAAATGCTCTTTTAGAAGAACGGAGTATCCAGAAAGAGAGTGGTATGCTAAAAACCAGTAATTATGTGTATACTTAGTCTTTAACTTAGCACATTAAATCTCTTTATAATCCGTAAGTGTATGCAACGGCTATTTCAGCCCAGAAGTATCCCATAATGCAATGTCTTCTTGCTGACCTTGAGCACTTCTAAAGCCGCTGTTGAGCTTCTGGCCTCATTTTGCCTGGTGAGAAAGTGCCCCAACGCTTGAGGAGAGAAACTTCACTCTTTCCATTTTCCCTGCGCTTCTGGTTCGCTTTGTGTCCCTCACTCGTGTTTTTCAGCTCTTGCTGGCCCCGCGGCCTTGCCACCTGTGACAGGAGCCAATCAGACTGGCAGGCCTGACTCCGTTGTTGCAGAAACAGGCGCTGAACTTGCTGGATCGGCCTTCCCGAGCCTTTTCGCTGCAGTCAGTAGTCTTTATTGCGCTGCTAGCTGGGAGTTGCCTGGGTGCACCGTCTGTGGGAGCCCTACTTGTTGCTATTTATGGAAGGGTGAATAAGACACTGCAAACAAAACCCTGGAGCCCAAAAGGCCAAACTCAGTGCCAAGCACAAACACCAGTTGAACAGTAAAAGTAATTTGTCACATACTTTCGCAGCACTTTAACTCCAGCTCCCAAGTGTGCTGAATTGATTTCATTAGTTTGAAGGGAACAAGATGCAGCTGCAAAGGAGCCGATAGTGACTCTGAGATATTTGCATATGTGCTGGTAGAAGGCACTTTCAACATATCTGCAGATGTATTCATGCGCACATACATGCTTTTTTTCTATTGTATTTTCTCCTTCTGGTGCAATTTGAGTCAGTTGATTAAAGGTAACTGTAAAAGCTTTAGCGCCTGTACGCGTACATACATTATAATCTATACACCCGTGCCTTGTGTGTGTTAGCAGTAGTATGGCCTCTTGTTTCTGGAGGTAAACATGGCTATCGTCTGTTTCTCTAGCTAATTGTAGCCAGATGCCGGGGCTGCAGACCAGATGGGCTTGGTGCTAAGTGATAGTTCTTGGCTGACATCACCTCATAGCATGCTGCAGAAAGACACACAGGGGGAAGAGATCAGCAGAAAACAGATAAGAATGAACAGTGCCCAGATAGGGAAAAGTATGCTGAAACCGGAGATGATTAGATGAGACCTTCAAAACACGGAATACCTTTGAATATGACATAGCAAATCATTAAACAGCTATTTTTCGCTGCAGCTGACATTATTCTTGTTCGTATTGCGCAGTTGGAACACAGGAGTTGTTTACAGTGGCAGCCACTGTGAAGGATGACGGACAGAAGCAAATATCTGGGGAGGAGACGTCAGCGATGGTTATCAGCCCCGTCAAATGAATCACACCGGTTTGTTAGTTCTGCAGCTTTAGCACATAAATGGGCCGATAATGTGCCTCTATGAAACTCAGACTGGCCTATAAAATGACTGGCATGTTAGTAAATGATGTTGGACCCCTTCGATTTACTGCATCTCACGCATAATTTTGGAGGCGACACTTTTCTCCAACTCTCTGACTCACTTTTTCTATAAGCCCAGTCTGAAAATAACATAGTCAAATTAAAGCTACTCCATAAAACGCTCTTATTAATAGGTGTTTTGCACTTTTGGCTGGAGTATATTTTAAGATTTTTTTTTAACGTAAAAGCATTGACAGATACTTCCTTGTTGATTATTACACATACCTTTCTTCAGCACTATTAATGAGGAATCCGAGGACAAAGTTCTGTATATTTTCCAGTAATTTAATCATTTCATGTGCCAAATAGTTTGGTAAAGCAAACCAAGTCCAGCCTGACTTTAATCTGGAAATACCACTACATTCTTTCCAAAAATGTAGAGAAAACTACCAAAAATAACCTACATACACATGACAATTAATAGTAATGGTTTTGTACATGCATTCTTGCATTAGTTGTGTTGGATCCTGCTGCAGTGTATTGCTCTGGAAAGCCTTTAACAGTAAATTATAAAAGGTAAAAAGAGCAGCTATCAGGACAGCCCACTGCGTTTTCTGGAATAGTCCAGATTCATGTCACTCTCACTGGAAAGAGTCCTCTGGCCAACCTTTAAAGTAGTCAGATGGCTGTAAAAAAGTGGCTTAGAGGCTGCTGACGTCCGTAATATATTTCTGCACATAGACAAGGTCTATAGCCGTGGCATTGACCTTGCTAAAAACTCCACTGCATAGTCCGAAATCACCGGCTGAGGCTGAGAACACACTGCTGCTTTAATAAGAGTTGGGCATAGGGAATTTGAAAAGGGTTATATTTCTGCCTACAATAGCTCTTTTTCATCATCAGAACGGTAAAGCACATGTTTAAACTTTTGCTGCCATCTTTGCTATTTCTAATACAAACTTTGACGCTGTCAAACAGAAATGGCTCTTTAGCATCATCTGGGTTGTTTCAATGAATGTGGCCGACCTTTGTAAGCGTGCTTTGTGTCATTTACAGGAGAAACTTTTACTCTGGGCAGCCGTCCATATTGCCCGGCCTCCAGCCACATTGTAACGTTCACATTCATAGCAAGCTAGAGCAACAGCTCATTGTCAAGTGACTGCTCCCTGAGTAAAATCCTCCTCGCTGGTTTATGCATCCAATCAGGCCTTTATTCGGTGGACGGCTGACAGAAAAAACAAAGCATTACTCACATGCTATGTTGTGGATCTTTAGGACTTTCCTACAGAGAGTTTTTTGCTCTTTTGTCCACAGAGCGCGGCTGACTGTGGGAGTGGTAGGAGAACACAGAGCAGCCAAAGCCCAGAGCAGCAATCAGTGACCCGCACCTCTCCAGCAATGGGAGCCGGCCCAGCCTGCGCAGATGATGCCATCGTCAGACATCAATTGAAGGGGGAAAGGTGACATTTCAGGCTGGCCTCCCCCCCACACACACACATCTGTGACTTACATAATGAAAGGTCTTTATGTAAGTCATAATTGGAGTCACATGTCTGTGTTTTTCTTTGCAGCAGGAAGCCCAGAGCTGAGCCCAAGCTTGCCGCCGCCCCGCAAGGCCACCCACAGCTTCACATGCAGCTTCAAAAGTTCACTGTGTCTGCTGACAAGGTGACCTGACCTTTGCCAGACACACCCACATTCCCCTGACACCGCAAATCAATTTTGCCTACACAACCTATGGTTCATAAGCCATGTGACCTCAACCTCAGGATTTATTGCTACAAATTGCCAAGTCAGCACTGCATCTGTTATTAAACATGAGACTATGAGACTAATTTGTTGTGCATTTAAGTGTGACTGTGTTGGTGCAGTTCCTCTCATTTCCAGTACAAATGCAATGATGCAATGACCAATAATGACTTATTTATGGTGACCATTACGGATAAAATAACCAAAAAATGTGATGAGCAGGATAAATATAGATGTTTTGATCAAGATGAAGTTTATTTATGTATCTAACGCACCAATATTTGGAGAGCTGCAAACATCCCTAGAACAAAGAAAACACTATATTGTAAGCTAGTTTGTAGTAATTGTTGAATTTTGATTTTTTAATATGTAGAATAATTAATACCAGATTTCATTGTAAGAAGATTCTATTGGTCGGTCCTTTTTCAGTTTGTTGATATGGGCACAATAACGGAAGTTTCATGTCAGAGTTCAAACCTATCTTTAGACCATGTCAAAAAGTTGCTACTAAGCAAATAAAAATGTTCTGCAATCAGTCCAAACATTCATTTTCTACTCTGCAGCCACACTCCACATCAGATGTAAGCCTAATCATCATTAATAACGTAGTTTTCTTACTCAAAGACCAACAATATATTGGCCATCGACATATTGCGCTTCACTAGTTTCCAGGAATTGCCGCTGCGTAAAGGTCAGAATGAGAAATATCATCTGGGTCCAGCTCACTGTGTTTTCTGTGGCTTTGGCCGCCAAATCTGCGGTGTGTTCCGAAATCAGATACTTCACTTTTAAACTGTTCATTGGTTTAACTCAATCTGTTTCCCACTTCCTCTCCATCTCAGACTTTGTCCTGGCTCAAGGACAACGTGTCCATGGCCACACAGGTATGTTCAATAGCCAGTTTTGAGGGGCTGGAGGCAGCCAGGAGGTGTCAACACACTCTCGAACAAGAAATCCTCACCAACAGAGCCAGGATAGAGGTGGTCAAAAGGGTAAGTCGAGGCACACCGTCACATTTGTAGTTCCTCTGCGAGCATTGGACAAGTGCCTTGAATGAAAACACATTCTGCATGCATTTTGGCAGGTCTGGTTTGTGTATTAATCAAATAATGAGCTGACGTCTCATCGGAGAAGGCTTCAATTGCCCAAAGCTCAGATTAGGGCTACATTTCGCAACATAAATTCCAGTTCTTAGTCATCACATGCTCTCATCAGTTTAACGCCCCGTCCTCAGGAGGGCCACGGGTTGGTCCGTGCACAGCACCCAGGCAGCACCAGGATCGAGGAGTTCCTCGGCCAGCTGGAGGTCCTGTGGGAAGAATTGAGAAGGAGGCACCAGAGGAATGCTGTGTTCCTGCAGGCCTCAGAGGAGCTGGGTTTCAGGGTAAGATATCATAAAATATCTCTCAGCAGGCTCTCTTCTTAAGTCATACTGTTCTAAGAGAAATTTATGGTTATGACAGATTATTCTGGATGAATTCTACCACTGTTAGAAGCTTTATGTTGGGACAGAGCCTGGGTTATATGCTTGAACTGGTTAGAAACTCATTTACTTTCATCTTTACCAGTCTGACTGGCAAAGTCTTCAAGGTATACTCAAGGCAATTTATGAAGGGTAATATAAGGAAATAGTGCTTCCATATAATTCAATTATGAGTTGGAAAGGGAATGCAAATCCAGATTGTTAGAAACCAAAACATGTAGGTCAAAGCACAGTTGACCTAATAGGTATACTTTGTGGACTAAACCACATAAAAACCTATGCATCATGAGATATATTGTCGCCCTTCCATAACCTCTCCGCTTCTGTTCCGTATAGGCTGTGAAAGTGCTCCAGGCTCTTGGCAGCCTGGAAGCCTGGCTGGAGTCCGTGGAGCTTTCCATGAAGGAATCTGCATTAGCCGGTGACCCTGAGACAATGAGCGTGGCTGAGAGGGAGAGCTGTCTGCTGGAAAGAGAGGTGGCAGCCCGCAGCCTGGAGCTCAGTGCTCTGAGGCAGGAGGTGGAGCGCCTTCATGGCCACAGTCACCCCCACACACGAGGGCTTCCAGCGCGCATGGAGGAGGTGGAGAGAAAGTATGTTTATTCAGAGGATAGGTCAAGGGTAGCCCCCTGAGGCTTGTCATTATGGAAGAGTCATGTTATAAATCTGAACAAATCTGTGGTCAGGAAATACAGCAAGTCACTGTTTCCAAGAGGTCACAGGTTTGGGGTTGCCATGTTTGTAATCCAACATGGAAGGGTTTATTCATAAAAATTGACAGTTCTTATTTAAGACAAATAATTACACCCCATAAACCACAAACATGTATATATCCACGGATCTCACAGGTCGCCTTTTTACCCAAGTTGGCACGAATCCTCTCCATGCGCTCATTAAGTGCACAGCTCAAGTTTGTTCATTTGTGATTCATGCAGCACTTAGTGAGGTCTACCCCACAGCTTTTGACATGCATTTCACCCACAGCTCATCAGCGTGTGTCACAGTCACCCGTTCCATGTTTGCAAAATGACGCGCCTCTCTTGGGTTGGCCCCTGAAAGACAGGTTGTTGCCACAGACTCAGTAAAACCTCATGATGTTGGACGGTTTACGGGACATACCTCTGTCTATAAACAAAAGTTCAGACTCTGTAAAGAACACCGAGCTGACCAACGAAAATAAAGACACGGAAAGGTCTCCGTTTAAGTGTTTCCAGGGTGGGGGTGTTAGATGGGGCAGAGATGGCCACTTGTGCAGTCTGAGGTACCACCGATGCAGGTAGAAGCTCTCGCTGAGCAGCTGCAACACACTTGGTATGATGTCATTATTTAACACTACATAGAAGCAGCTTAAGGCTCATTTATTCTGGAAAAAACACCCTTTCAAATTGATCCCTTTACCATCTCATATGTAAACTCTGCACACACGAGGCACCTTGGTGCCCTGAAGTGCAGGATATGTTTATGTGACACATGATATATGATAACATAAACAGCACTCCAGCATGGTAACAGTCACCCAGCAAGCTGCCCACGGTCTCCTTAATGTGGCTGCGCTGAAGGATGCAGGGTTGTATGTGCGGAGGTGGATGTCGGCTAAAGTGGAGTTTCTGGTTAAAACATTCCTGCTGGTGTTTGTGTTTCCCAGGTACCATCGTGTCCAAAGTGCCCTGACCCAGCAGAGCTCAGAGCTGCAAGACACTCGCATGCTGACAGAGTTCCTGGAGCGTGTGGAGCTGGAGGAGAGCCAGGAGCTCAGCGGGAGTCGATACGGCCTTGGACAGGTGAGAAACAGCTTATGAGGGTAAAGGATCCACAAAGTTATAGTTTTAAAAAATGTTGTCATTTAGGTGTGTCTCACTCATGATGCTCACAGAATTCGAAATGATTTAAAGTCTCCTCTTTGGTCATCAACCAAAGCCCAAAAAAGTCCTCTCTGTTTATCAAAGTTACGTATTTAGATATTTTTTTCAATAAAATAATTCCTTGCTGCCTTCAAATATCACGTTCCTCTAAAATGTGGAACTCTATGAAGTCCCCTCCTCTCTCTCCACCCACCCTTCCCCACCCAACTCACAAGTTTGCCTATGGCTCTGTCTAAGCACTTTAAAACTACCGTAATTTTCGGACTATTGAGTGCACTTGAATATAAGCCTCACCCACGAACTTTAGAAAGAAAAAAAATGCGTGCATATATAGGCCACACTTGTCTATAAGTCCACGTTGTAACATGAGATATTTACACAGAAAGATTTTTTTTAACTTTTAATTAAGTACGTACCAGTAACACACAAAATGGTGTAAACTGGTAAAGACTAGTCAAAATTGGAGTAATTCAACCACACGCATTGGAACTGGAAAATTGAAGGCCACAACATGCAAACTGACTGAATTGGGTCCTCAGATATGTTTGATATGTTTAAAACCCCAAACATCTGAATCCATTTTTTGAGACAGCCATCGGTATTGTTCAGCTACAAGGTGGAAATACTTAGCCATAGCTTTGAACGCCTATTTTGCTTATTATGTGCCTTCCAGCATATGAAAACACCTGCTGGTCTTTACTTCAAGTAAAAATCCATCTATCAAAGAGAGGAGAAGAGAAGAGTGGATGTGATATTGTTAAAAAAAAACAAAAACATAAAAACAGGTACACCAGCATGTCTTTTCAGGTGATGTCTTGGGTTGTACACATGAAAAGTATCAGAAATAGTTGAGTGAAAAAGGATATCATAGTCTAACAGGCATAACAGTATAAATACATAAAAAGTTTAGGTTCATATGGGAAAGGTGTGAATTGAAGGGATTTCTGATGCTACCTTCCCATCCAACATGCAGCTTGAACAAACCATAAATTCATTTAAAATAATCCACAGATCATTTTCAACGGCACAACATTCTACTGAAAGCATCATCCTTATCAAAACTGTCGACAAAGTATGTCTCTGTGGATTAATTACAGTCATAAAGCATCTGACGTCTTAGATAAGGAAAATAAAACCCAAACCGTCAGCGTGTCCAGCGAACCAGCACTTTTCATCGTTTAGATTACACCTGTCACCTGCCTTATCATTCCACTGAACTAAGATCCGCTCTTTCAGCCTCTCCACAGTGAAATTTCCTCAGCTTCTACTTTGCTGGGACTCCAAAGCAGCAGCGGCGGCGGCGGTGGTGGTGAGCCCCTCATAGAAACTATGGGGGACCCTGTGGAGGAGCTGCGAGAAGCGGTGGAGATGCTGAATGACACCGTGAGGGAAAGAGGTCGATCGCAGAGCCACGATCAGGCCGTCCAGGAGCTGCTGAGCAAGGTAAGGTGATGGCAAGTGTCAGTACATGGGAGGTCTGTTTCTGGGTCAATAGATCCAGTGGTTGCTGCTAAGCTATAATGATCTTACACAATGCTGAACGTTTTTTAAGTTTTTAGCAGAGCCACATCTGGTTTACTTTTTTTTACTGTGGCTGTGTACTTTAATGGGCCCCAAACAAGCCTCCGCCGTCACCACCACCACTCCCCCTTCACATGTTTGTGTTAATTCGATTTATTCTTAGTGAAAAAGGCAGCAAAGAAATATCAAAATAGCACATACACAGATGGCCGGAGGGGGAAATCCATGACACCATTTAAAACACCAATTTGCAATGTGGCTCTCATTGGAAAACAAATAACACGCAGTGAAATATAATGACATAATGATATCCTCTGAGTGCTCATGATGACTTTGCGCCTTGACAGCACGCCAGCCTGGCGGTGCGCGTGGAGGAGCGCCTGTGCTGCAGTAAGGATCTAGGCCTGGACATCCTGGAGAAGGAGACAGACATGGCCATCCAGTGCGAGCCAGACCACTGTGGCCTCGAGGCTCTGCAGGAGAAGCAGGACCACCTGGAGGTGAGAGGAAGATGCCGGCACACGTTGTGACCGTGGCGTAAACATCTGAAATGATTCATTGCCGTTAATTCAATCCAATATTCCATTCCGCTGACTCTGGATTGCAGACTTTTTGCTCAGTGTCATGAAAAAGGGGAAGCCCACACTCCCACCCTTTGTCCGTCTCACCTCCAACACATTGTTCCACCGCCTGTTTCCTGTTGTGCCAGGGTTTTTTTACACAACAGAAAGAAAAAAAAAAAAAGGGAGGCGGGGGCAGGTCCTCCCCGCTTTGTGCTTTGTTTAATTTATTATATAAACTGCACTGTGCAATCACACACATAGAGCGTGCAAAAGTTTATTATTCACACAGGATATTTATTTATGCTTGTGTGAGTCACTGTTCTGTTAGCTCTCAAAGTGTGTGTGTGTGCGTGCGTGCGTGCGTGTGTGTGTGTGTGTGTGTGTGTGTGTGTGTGTGTGTGTGTGTGTGTTTATGAGTAAATCTGGTAGGGTGTGTATGAGTGTCCAGGGGTCACAGGGTTGGACTATGTTGGAGTTGGGGATGGTAAAGTTCTGTGTGAGTCATTTTTGGGCCGTGTTATGTTTATCATACACACACACACACACACACACACACACACACACACAGCTGTCTGGACTTGATACCACTGAAGAGCAGAAATGACCTAATCTCCCAAACTGAAATAACTGTGCCGTCAGCAGACAGGCATCCACAACTCCGTGTTCGTGAGCCGTACTGTAGCTGAGAAACATTACAGAGTATCGCTCCCAGAGAACCACTATTAATTACTGCCTCGTCAAAAGCAGAAAAAAAACTGGTCAAGATTGCGAGCTTGCTATAGCATGGCAGCCCATATGTACACCATATGGGCCTCTAACTGCATAATATGCATAAAGCTATGGAAATGAGGTCATAGTCAGAGATACAATTGGTACAGGCTGTTTGAGTGATCCCAGGTTCGATGGGAGATGATAGATTTTCACTGTGATTCTCCACAGATTGACTATGAAATCATCAGGGAGGAGGTAAAGGAGATGGAAGACCAGGCTTCCCGGATGAAGGAGCTGTGCCCAGAGAGAGTGCACGTACTCGAGGCAAAGATCCAGGCCACGCTGCAGGCCTGGAACGAGCTGGGAAAGAGCGTGACGGAGAACAAATCGCGTCTGCGAGAGTTTGTGCAGCTCCAGGACTTCTTCAGGAGCTACCTCGCCATGATGTAAGCAGGGAGTGAGGAGTATCGTGACCCCTTTCATAATCCACTTTGTGGGAACATCTGCCCATTACAATATCTTAGAAGAACACGATGTCCTTCTTTGTCAAGCACAGGTCCCTGAGGAAATGTATAATTTAAGATGTGCTCAGAAGGTCAGAGCAAGGTTCCTCAGCTGAGTGCGACAGAGCGATGAATGTTGAGGGGGAGTCTGCTCATTCTCATGTTTTAGTGAATGTATGTTTTTTCTCACAACCCTGTTCCTTGTCTCCTCCACTACCTCTTACCACAACCCGCTCCCCTGAACAGCTCATGGACCGAGGACACCAGGTCTTGCATTTTCTCCGATACCGCCTTGCACCTTGGGAGAGATGGGCAGAAGCCACTGGCTGCAGAGCTGGACATGCAGATTGAGCGAAAGTTTAATGAATTTGATGAGCTGGCAGCCACAGGGAAGAACCTTTTAGACAAAGAGCATCACCTCACGCAGATGGTGAGCACGGATACACGCTTGCAACTTACTGCCGTCCACGAAAATATGGTTGGTTTGGTTATATCCACTTTTGCAAACCCTGAGTAATTTCTTGTAGGTAAGAGAGCGCATGGAGGAGCTGAGGAACATGCTTGGGTGGATCTTGGTGCACTGGAGGGCTCAGAAACAACAGTGGCTTCACAAGAAGAGCAGACAGGAGTGTTCACAAGATAACATTTATTCTGAGGCGACAATGTGCCCTCCAGAGGTAAGAGGCATTTACAGTTTGTTCAGTGTCATATTTCACACATACGTGGGTTTTTCCATGTCATAGCATCAGAGGCCTTCAGCTTAACCCCAAAACCCTTTTGTCATAAACTTTGGTATCTATTTTACATAGATATATCAAGATAATTTTCACTAAAAAAAATGCCTGTCGACTGACTTTGAGTGGCATTCGTAAACATACAAAAATATCACTACTTAATCTCTGCATGATTATTTTTTTGGTTTATGTGTACTTAAGGATGGGGCTTTTCATGACTCATCAGCCAGAAATTATTTGGTCTGCTTGCAGTTTCTGAATCAGTGGCATGACGAGAAATAGCAGTGACAATTTCAAGCTTTTAACTTAAATATTTCCTAAAATATTGTCATTCAAATACAGCCTCAGATTTCAATGTGTAAAAAAAACATGCGGAAAGTGGGTCGACAGGCAATTTCGGGCAAATCAGACACGGTCGAGCAGAAATTGTTTTAAAACTTTGATGAAGTGAGATGGAATGTCCCAATGTGACCGTACCGTCATCTGGGGCTTCATGTTAGTTTTAAGAACAAACTTTTTTTTAATATATATTTTTAATAATTAAAACAGGTTATAATGTAGCCTGAAGTAGCACTGAAGGTTTTGGTGGTGTGCGGCCAGTAACAGCCGACACTAATCAGGCTGTTTGCAAAAAAATAACAACGAATATCAGAAAATCTCAATAATTTGAGGCTGACAAATTGACTGTCTGTGGATGAAGAGTTAGCAAAACTATGTTGGTACCATGACTCATATATGCATGCTGGAAACTAGCATTTGAAAACAAGCATAGAGGTATATAATGGTAAACATCCCCAGAAGAGATTGAGTACTTCTTCACCAATGCGAATACTTGTTCATTTCTTCTTACCATCCCACACAGACTTCAACTCCTGAGCCAGAGGTCTTCCAATCTCAACAGTGTCAAGTTGTCAGTCCTTGTGAAGACACAAAGAAGGCAGCCAGAGACAGTCAGCACTCATCTCACGAAGAGAAGCAGTCAGAGGATGGCTACGAGGTCATGAACAGTATCGGACCTCAGGGCGACTTTCCCAAAACCAACATCATGGTGCTCAAAGAGGGCAGCAGTCCACCTACGGGAGGCACAGTCAACCTCATCCTTAGTTTTGGTAACACAGGGGACAGCCAGGTTCAGGTGTTCGACCTGCCTGCTAGGACGGATGAGGTAGTGGAGGAGACCTCTGAGCCTGTCCACAGGGTGAGAAACACACCCACACTTCACCAAACACCATTATGGAGGGCCGCGATTACTGACTATGTGCATTTCTTCCCCACTGAAACAAGTGATTTTTGTTACAGTTCCTGAAGGTCACTGCAGTAACATTAATTCTCTGTAAGGACACTGCATGGGATCTCCCTCCTTGACTGTCCTGCTGTTCATTCCTCTCTCTCTCTCTCGCTCTCTCTCTCTCTCTCTCTCTCTCCTTTGGCCTTCACGTCTTCCTTTTTCCCCATTTTCTCCCTCAGCCCACTGTGCCTCAATCTTCTGCCTGTAAAAACTTTTGGAGGCGCTGCCAGGGGCTTTTGGAAAATACTTTGGGTAGTTTAAAGCGAAAGAGAAAGATTTATCGGCAGAGTGCGAATGAGGTAAACTGCGCAGTGTGAACTGGCATTGCATGCTGTGTCTCAAAGTGTGCTGGGACTGCATGCTGTGTGTAGATGTGTTCTGGGGGCAGCATGTTCTACTAACCCGTTACAAGGTACAACCAGTCCGCGGCCTCCCCGTGTTTTTGCCTTCTCTGTAAGTCAGGCGTAAGAGTAAAGGGAAACAAGGCAGGCCGAGGGGCCATCACAAAGTATTTGTCCTGACACCATCTCCAAAGTCACTGTGGCTGGAAAATGTAGAGTTAACATGAGAGAAGTGAGAAAAGACAACAAACCATCTGACTGTTAAAACTCACAATTTCTCACTTAACTGCAGTCATAAATACAAATCTAAAAGCAAATAAATTCTGTTTTAAATAAAAGTCCATTCTGTCATGACATTTAATGGGATGTGAAAAGAAAGGTGCTACTTTTACAATCCATTTGTAAAAACAGAAATGTACCGACTGAAATGCAGTGATACATCTGATCTCCTGTAAGGGAACATAAACCATTGTCTTTATGGAAGTTTTATAAGCTTGTTACAAGTTGCTAGAATTTACACATTTAATTTATTATTATGAACTTTTAGACCAACCCAAGTTTAAGTTACAGTTAAATTTTAATGAGATTTATTGTTTTAATTAATTTAATGCAAATGAAAGTTCATTTAATTTTACAAATCACATTTAATTTTTTTTTTTTTTAATCCTAAAATCAATTGTTAATTACCTTTGCAATATTGACCACCTTATTTAAAGGAGTCATAAAACTTGTCATAGATTACAGATGTAAAAATAAAAGAAATTACCTGATTAAGCTTAACCCTCTGAACCCCAAGCATTTACATTTTTGGGTGTTTGTTTGTTTGTTTGTTTTTTGTTCATTGTGTTACTGCAATATAAGTCCTCCACCTCTATGGAAACAACACAACCATGGCTGAAAGTACAAAGGACTTAAAAATGCCTTCTGTGCTGTAGGACACAGGCATAGGAGAAAAAAAGAAGAAAGTAAGAAAAAAAAAATGAATTTTTTAGATGATTTATTTTACTTTTTTTTTTTTTTAAATCTTGAATTAGCATGTGCCGACACTACCCAGGACCAAAAACAGGCACCCAAAAAAAAAAAAAAAAAAAAAAAATAAAGTAAGAAAAAAAAAATGAATTTTTTAGATGATTTATTTTACTTTTTTTTTTTTTTAAATCTTGAATTAGCATGTACATGGAATTCTAGGTGTCCACTAATAATAACACTACTGGGGGGGGGGAAGTGGTGATTTAATAGATATCTTAAGAATTAGATTGTTTCCGTACTTGTCTCTGATCGTTCCTGTGCAAACACTGCCTGTAGTTCAGCTTAGTTCAAACAAATGTACCTGAATTTCGGTTGTGTGATGGTCACAGCTGAGACAGTAATACCTTTACAGCTGCATTAAAGAGCACAGATTTGTTTGTTTTTTACAGAACCTGGTTATTGCAGATTTTTTATTTTTGCTGAATTTTTACATTTACCATATAAAATAAAGAGATTTTGATGAAATATCACAATTTTAAGCTTGGAGTTGTTTAAGTTTTGCAGCACGTCATAGATGAGGAGTTTAATGACCAGTGTATTTTTCTAGTTTTTACAGTTTCTGAGTCTGAGAAATGGTGTAATTTGGATGACTTATGGAGTTCTAGGTGTTAAGTCACTGAAAACGAATGTGTGTATTTTGGACTTGCAGGAGTGAATGCGAATCTGTCTTCACAATAATCTGTCAGTGGTCATTTTCCTTTTCAGCTTGTCTAATGTAAACTGAAAATCAGACAATGAATCAGTGTGTTCACAGGCCTACTTTTGTCTGCAATTAAAACTTTTCTATTGGAACTAAATGAGGCAGGATTTAAAACTGGAAAGCCCTGATGACAGAGACAGAATGAGAGTGATGAGTAAGAAAAGCACTCACAGTCTTCTTCCTGCTGTGGATGTTGACAGAAGCTCTCTCTTCTCCTTCTGTCATCTCATTGCAAAGCCTGATGTAAACCTGCTCGTGTCTGGCTCTCCATAGCCGTGCCACGATTGTGTGAAATAAGTGACCTCACCCCCTCACTTCCTTTGAAAATTGTGCTCCAAAATGGCTCCCAGCAGGAGTATGTCCCAAATGCCAGCGGAGGTGCAGTCATTAGGCGGAGAACTGGTGCTGAACTTTCAGGAAAGGCCTCCAGACTGCACACCATGATTTATAGTCTGGGGGCTTCCACAGAAACAAGAGATTAGTCACAGAGTTGAAAGGTCAGGACATTACAGCTGCGCATGACGGCATGTGCAGCCACATATGATTTAGATTAAGTCCTGCAAGTGTGCAGTTGCAATCATGTCCGTGTTCTTTTTGTCCTTTCATCAAATTTTTTTGTCTTTCGTGTTTTTTTTTGTTGTTTTTTTTACACATTTGTGTCGTTGTATGGGGCTCATACATTCCTGAATCCATTGTTTTCTTAAGTGTGTAAGATGATTGTCTAAGTCGGTTTTGCTCTCATGTCATCATCCATCTGTAACACATAAAACAGCTCAGAGAGAGCTGCAAGGCTTCAGCCTGCAGCACGCATGAGTGTCTCTGGGGTTAACCATTTCTAACACACCTTCAGTGAAATGAGAGCTCACACACATGCCTAATATGCTTTTCTCCTTTTTTATAGGTAAGTACCTACTTGCATGTCAAGGATAACAACCTGGCTGTGGCCCCTGTGTATGAGAGTATCACCCTGCCCCGCCAAAAGAGCCGCTCTGCAGCCTCGGCCTCCCCTACCTTCTTGCCATCCCCCTCCTTGCCATCTCCCCCGGCGGCTGCGCCACAGTCGACCAACGTAACCTTCCACCCTTTGACGGGGAGCAGCAGCACCTCCATCTTCAGCAGCCTCAAGAGGATGGGCAAGAAGAGAAAGCGGAAGAGGGATGCTCGCAGGCACACTATTCAGAAAATCATGGGAGTGGAGGAGCAAACGGATGGCATGCCCCATTATGCCTGCGAGACAGTTCCATACGACACGCACACATGGCCGCTGAAAGAAGGTCGAAGGAAGAAGAGTTCACCAAAGACTGGGGATGGAGTGGAAGCTATGGCCTATATGAAGAACCCCCTGCTGAGGGACATTGATACAGAGTGTTCAGGAGAATATAGCATCATTCCATATGCTGTATCAGCAGGACCAACCACTTTGCCCTCAGCAGGTCAGGTGAGAAGCCACTGCAGATTCCTTTCATTGGGTTCTGTGCTGAGCTTTGATCTACCTAAAGACATGACCCTCATCCCCAGCATTCAGGACATCATCACTATTGCCCCTCCGGAGTCCAAAAAAGGAGGCGGGACAGATCCAGACCCCCAGAGACACACAGTCCTGAGCTCTTTCAGACAGACTCGACCCACCGTCACACGCAGTCCGGCTGAAATTGGCTTTTCTGAAACACAACCTTCAACAGTTGCAGTAAAAGATCTGCCTGATGTGGACAAGAGTTTTCAGCCTCCATGTCCTTCGTCTCTGGAAGAAGATGAGGATCAGACTGTGCCATGTAATGACTTGTCCAAAACCCAGTTCATCCTGCGTGAGGATGCAGAGCAGGAGTGGGACAAAATGCTATCGGAAGTTAAAACAGCTGAAAAGGAGGGAACCAGCCAGCCTTCACAGCTTCCTATTTATGTGAACCAAGCCCCCACTTCCACTACCGCTGCACATAAACACGAGTGTCTTAGTGTCCATACACTCATTCGAGACCTGAATGGGCACATGTACCATAAATGCACAAGAGCCCAGTGTACACATGAAGAGAGTCCTGGACTTCAATCAAGCCAGGCATCTCACATGACAGTGAATCTGAAGTCAACCGTGAGTGTGAGTGTTCGTCAGGACTCTGTGGACTCTGGCATCTCCACCTCCAGCAGCATCAAGCTTTGCTCTGATGCTCCATGTCCAGAGAACCAGCGGCCCAAGGGAGTGGTGGGGAGACTCATATCTCTTGAAGTGGGAGGTATCGATTGTAGTAAAACAAGAGAGAACGATGTAACATCCTCAGGTCCGTCTCCAGACTCTGCAGTGATCGAAGCAGAACCTGTTCACCTCGACCACCAGCAGTTTGAAGAGGAAGAGGAAGAACTGGAAGACATCTGGAACCAGACCTCTAACTACAGGCAGAGCATCTGCTCAGACATCATGTACCAGCCCAACCAGGAAGACTCCATAAACTCAGACCAATCCAGAGAGCCCCTTTGCCACTCACCCTCAGCTACGACGCCACCTGTGCTCTACAGGAACCTGGTCACTGCCTCAGCTCCCAACCTCCTTGTGGCTGAGTTCAAACTGCCGTCACACATTCAGAGCCTGCTGGGGTACGACAAGGGGCAGAGTCCCAAAGGTCACCTTCCTCCACTGGCGATAGGCGACAGGAGGTCCTGGGCGGCTTTTCCCAACAGGGAACCAGCCGGGAAGACTTCGGCAACAGTGAACGAGACCGCGTCTGATCCAGTGAAGCTGCCTGATGTAGGAGACAATCAGAGATACATTTATCAGTACAGAGAGGATGAGGAGGAGGAGGAAGAGGAGGCAAAGGTGGGGGAGGAGGTGGACGAGCTCGCAGGTGGCTTGAAGGTGAGGTCAACGTTTGATGTACTGTGATGTCGCCACCTTTGAAACTGTACTCTAATTATAAAAAATATTTTTCCCCCCTTGCATAAACCTATATAAAAAGTCATACAGATGGTTTGTAAAACATTTTTAAACCACCTTCTTCTACTAATAGAATAGAAAGGAGGACAACTTTATTGCTCTCTGAGGTAGAAAATTGTCTTGGCTCATCTGCTAGTTCATTCACACACCATTTAACAAAAAAAGCAGTCAAAGAAATAGTCCCCATGGCAACTGTTAAAAGATTTCTGGTGGCTAAGACACGTATTTCAAAGCCAACATAAATAAAACCAAACTATATGCTTGTCTAGAAGAGGTAGGTGAGAAAATATATTTAACATAAACTTACTGAAGTGACCTTTCAACAAACCTGCCTCATTACCTGAAGATTCATTAATGCAGCATCAATAAGTCATTAATAGGTGTGCCAGTAGTGCTTTGTACATAATGAATATGTATATGGCAAAAATGGAGCCGTAAACCTCTAATGGCATTAGGCTGCTTTCATCACTGTCGTATATCAAAGACAAAACATCTATATGACTATTTTTGTCATCAGTATTACTGTAGAATCTTCTCTTCCTGAACAGGACCACTCGATGAGTCTGCTGTCTGTTCATATGGATTTGGATGGAGCCTGTCAGCAAAGAGCAGCCTCACAAAGCCTGGAAGACATGGAGAGGCCAGAGAAGCTGGTGGCCACAGGAGGGCGCTGCTTCACCCTGGTGAGACTTACTGTAATCAGTGTAGCTACTGGCTTATGGCAAATATGGGCTCTCCTATTAATTGTTTTTTTTTTTTTTCCGTGCATTTTGTCATTATCAGAGTGGAAAGCCTGAGCTGCAGTCGATGGAGGGAACACTCGAGAGGAAGCACAAGCTGCAGCTGGGAGGAAAGAAAGTAAGAAATGTTTGAGCCAGCATGTTCAGCAAATGTAAAGCCCCGCAGTCAGCAGCACACAGTCTTATCTTATTTTCACAGGCAGCCTCCAGAGGCTGGAACTCCTACCATGCTGTCCTATATAGACACACCTTGTGCTTCTACCAGGATAGAAAGGATACACTGAGGGTAAGCAGAAAAAGTTATAACAAAAAACAAAAAAAAGAGCCTAAGAGAAGAGAAGGGATTAATAATTGAAGTAGATGGTCAGTGATAATCAGACTGTGCTGTGCTGCAGAGTTCTGCATGTGGCCTGCCGCTGAACCTGACGGGAGCTGAGTGTTCACCTGCCCCGGACTACACCAAAAAACCCAACTGCTTTCGATTACGGTAAACCCTGCAATAACTGCTAAATTATAATTACAATGTTTTATAGATTAAAAAGCCCCGAAGGCAACAATAAATGTACACACAGCTGTATGTTTGACCCATTTAGCATCTGTAAGTTCAACAGTTGTATTTTCTTATCTTCAGGCTCCGTGATGGGTCTGAATATCTGCTCAATGCTTCCTCACGCTTTATGATGAAGAAATGGATGATGAAAATACAAGCAAACACAGGTAAATATTATTAATTCGAAGCCCATTTATGCTAGTAGTGCACTGATGTTCCACTGATGTGATTCATTTGTATGTTTTCTTTAAAGATCAGAGTGTTTCTTCAGTACCAGGTGTCCCGGTTGATCGAGACCTCTCCATTTTCTTGTAAGATTTTCATTCACTAAAATTCTTTCAATCGTATCATAATCCTGTGCAATAATCCCTTTGAAACTCCTTTGTCCCTTCAGAAAGCCCTCTCTCTGCTTCGGATGTCCTGATCCAGCCAGTTGCCGCTGCTCCCCTCGACACGATGTCACCCGCACATTCCCTAGGAACAAACCGCCACCGGGTAGCGCCCAAACCAAAGAGATCGTCGTCCTCACCAGAGACTTCGGTCACTTGCCACAGACTCATTTAAAAAGACTGGATGAGCAGTCAGCCATCTCATCCTCTGGCTGCTGTGGTGAGGCCTTCTGCTGTGCACACAAAAGCTATATTTACCTGGGAAGAGTTGACCAAATGTCCTCCGCGTTCACACATAGCGGAAGCAGGACAAACACCACTCTTCACTGCGGAGTGCTGAGTTTTCCCACGGTGCTGCTGCTGCTGGTTAGAGGATGCACTCAGTGTTTGTCAGTGATTTAAAGCTGGGGAAGGCTGTATTTTTTAGGCGTCACTGGGCAAACAATTTACAACTTTGCAGCATACTGTAATTCGAGTGATCTGAGAGGAAAGCCGATATCGCACTTCTTCTTGGCTGTGTTTCCAGGCTTTAGAAAGTTTCGTTCATGACGGGAGGCTTTGTCAATTACAGGGTTTAGGACAAAGCATGGAGAGCTGTAGGAGGAGGGCTGCAGTTCTTCTTGCCATTTTTTTTTTTTTAGATTTCTGATTACTGCAGCTTTAACTGCATTTTAATTATTTCTTCAACAATGATTTTCCCAATCAATTTGTTTTGTTTTTAAGGTTTCGTTCAGCTTTTTAGCACTTCAGACTGCTTTGATAAAAGGTCTAGCCATCTCAGAATGGATGCTGCAGGTACAGTAGGTACCACTAGGGGGAGCTAAGGCATCAACTTACAGCATATTAAACAGCTAGCGTGTCACATGGCAGCACAGACACCAGGGTTGCCACTGTAAACTTTATGTTGCTCAGCTCTTCTGCTTTTAATATTTCCTTTGACCCTCCCTAGATGATGATGATGATGATGAAGGCCGTTTACAGCAGACAGTGACTCACAGACTCTCTGGAGGATTCAGAGACAACTCCCCTGTATCCAGCGGTCAGGACTGGCTCAGCAGCAAGCGCCGCTCCCACTCCTTCACATCAGGTTACTCTGCAGTTATTAACTTAAATCCTATAATTTGTATTGTGTCAGTGAATCTGCAGCAGCTGTTTTTTGTCTCCTAATCTTCTCTATTGTACTTTTTTTCTCTCAGCAACTTACCAGAAGATCAAGCCCATGTTGCACGCCCCTGGAGGAAAAGGCCCGGACCAAGGCTCCAACTACTGTGTGACTCTGGTGGTGGGAGACAAGTCAGCAGATGGCCTTTCGGTCAGCAGAAGCTCTGAGCCACCGCTGCTGGCCTCGGCTGGATGGCAGCAAGACACGTACCAAGACTCTGCTCTGAAAAGCTACGCCAGCCTGCCGCGGCCACGCAACAAGTCCGTCTTCAAAAAGTTCTTTGGGAAAAAGGACTTCTGAGTTTATAAATGAGAATTTTTCACTAATAAAGGGTTTTACAGATAGTTTGAAATGTGCAGTGCACATACTAAGCAAAAAAGGAAAAGAAAAAAACACTACTACTGACCGTATTTATGATTGAAAGACTACCACAGTTTTATTTTTGATGTGTTTTATATAAATCACGTGCTGAAAGTTCCTTATAAAATTCCTTTTTACGAGTGTTTATATTACTTCTTTCTTCTTGTTTAAACTAAAGGGCAATGCTGTATGAGTGTGCACTGTGTAGTTGCAGATTTGATTGTCTTATTTCAGTCAGAATTCGTTTTCTCCATGTGATTAACAGTTTTCGTAAACCCTCCCACTCGGCGGAGAATCAGTTTAGACTCCCAGTGACTCTCATCTTGACTTGATTATGACTAAGTATTAACAATATCCTGAGCTCATGACGCTTGCAGTACATCATTACAGCTCTCTGGCTTCACATGTACAGTGTGATGCGCACCGACACATTTTACGCAACCACAAATAAGCAGTTTGATACTGCTTGAGCTTGTTTTGATATAAATACTTTTCTAAAGAATTGTAGCAGAGACAATACATAATAAAACCTTTAAAAAAATTTTTGCTTTGACTGTGATTAAAGATCTTTATGTTTTTTTAAGACAGCAGTGGTGAACATGTCTGTTTTTCAAGCTTTGTTCGTCATCTCTGGGGGCTTTGAAGAGCAAAAGGATTAGATGAACAGAGAGATTAAAGGCCACGCTAGGCTAAGAACATCTTCACATCATTAGTCTTATTTTTGCACTATAAAACCTGACACCGTTCAGGGACGTAATTCAAACAAACGCATAATCAACATTGCATTTATGATGCTGAGGAACCAGGCACTCTCACCAGACATGGCTGCATAATCAGTCTTGTGCATTAAGCATTTGCAAAATGCTACTGTTTAGCATTACAAAATATTCAGTGACTCACTCCATGATGTCTGAGACAGATTAGTTACGGCACAGAGGGAAAGGGCACAATTTTTTGGAAGATTTACACAAAACACTGACAAAGCTAAACTCTCTAAATAAAAAAATAATAATCTTAAAATGTAATTGCTTCCATATGCGAAACACATGGGAGCTGCACAAGTGTAAGCAACTAGAAGGGTTCGAAGTGTAAGAGCCAAAAGCAAGATTAGTTGAGGTGTAAATGCTAAAAGCATATGAAATTTTAATTTTGAGTTCAAACCCCGTAGAAAGAATTGCCCCTGTGTATGTAAACACGGAAAGTAGCCGAACTGTTTGTTCAAGTGTGAGACATCAACACAGATGAATTGTCGCTTTAGGAGCAATGGAAGCTGTTGAAATGTTAGCTGAGCTGTAAGTAATTGAAATTTCATTTGAAGCTGAAGTGCCACATACAGTTGTGCAGTGTCAGTTGGTACATAAGCACTGACAGCAGCTGAAGTGTTGGGATAATGGGTGAGATAACATGCACTATGCACCAGTCTCAAACAACAACCTTCACATAATGCTATATACAGCATGCAGTAGAAGTATGTGCACCCCTGGACACTGCCACTTAAATGTCAAATGACTTAAAACTGTACCAAGTAACTATATATTTCTAAGTTGAAAAGTAGAGTAGATAATCTCAAGAACAATTAACCCTATTCAGGACTTTCATGTTGCCATACGCAGAGGGTCTTTCAGGGTCCATTGGACCCCAAGAAAAAATATGTGCAAAATATATGTTGGCATTCATCATAGACTTTTACACCATGTTAAATACATTTTCTGATAAGTTGACGTATTTTTGGTTCCAAATGCATAACAAATGTCCCTCTTTTTATATTTTAAAGAAATCTTCAAAAAAAAACAATACCTGTCTCCTACACCAAATGCCCTGAGCTCCAAAAGACCCCAAACGTCCTGAATAGGGTTAAACAACAAACAATTTAGGCAGACTATAGTAAAACTACAAGCCCCAGAGTAAAAAAAAACAATAACTCATAAATAAACACAAAACTTACCATAAATCATTGTAATTCACAAACATGTTCTATAATGAGCAGTGAACGCTGGAACTTTTGGAAATATGTCTTTGTGCATGTCTGCATTATGGCTCCACCTGGAAAAGAATTGCCTGAAGAACTGAGAAATCTCATTAACGTCATTAATCTCATTGACGTACAGGAAAATTAGTGACCAACAAAAAATGAGTAGAAACACAGTTGCAGCAGTTATCAGGAAGCACAGAATGAGCCACTGATTAGAGCCGCAGTGTTCTAAAACGGTGCCACAGAAAGTGTACGAGTTTCACAATCTAGCTCTGAAAAACAGACAGCTAAGTGCATCTACGAACTGTGGTCAAGAAAAAAATAAAATAAAATTACTTGCTGCAAGATTAAAGTTAGGACATGAATAGAAGTCCAATGAGTGTTGGGAGCACATCCCTTGGTCAGATGAGACAAAGATAAATTTATTCAGCTCTGATGGTTTTCCAGAATGTTCGACATGACCCTGGCTGGGACTAGCACAGTGAATTCAAGCACCTGACAGTGAAGCACGTAGGCAGGAGTGTGATAATGTGGGGCTGCATGAGTGAAAAAGCTTTTGGGAAGGTAACGTTCATAGATGGCACCATGAAGGCCTGTAGACATACCAAGAATCTGGCTAACAAGATAATTCCAGTCTCCAAAGACTGGCAGAAGAGGAGTATTCCAGCATGATAACAATCCAAAGCCAAAATCACACAAGAAAAGAATAAAAAAGTGAAAACTCTGACCTGACGAGTACTGTACGTTGCCAGGCTTGAATCAGATAGACCACCTTTGGGGTGTTTTAAAGAGAAAAGCAGAGAAACACAACCACTCCAGGAAAAAGCAGCTGGAAAAATTTGCCTCTGCAGAATTGTAGAACATTTCTCCACACAGGCACTAGATCCGGGAGGCCATTGAAATCAGGAAGCGAGGCTCACACACAATCAATAGAGATGATGGAGCGTTCCTTCTATCCCACACCTGGGACGCTCTGCTCCAGAGACCACCGCGCGGCGATAGGTGTGGCCAAACTGACACACCCACTGGATCTGTCAGATTGGCCACAGCTGATAAAGACAAGTCACACACGTCAGATGACACTTCTGAAGAAGGCGACAGATGGAATGCCGAAACATGTCAAGGTACAGCTAACAACTTCATACCATTGTCCTATTACAAAGAAATTCTTAAGTCTATTTCTCCAGAGATTTGTGCAACAGCGGTATCCTCCATCCTGAGGAGGATTGAGTCTGTCATAGAAAAAAAAGGTGGACATATGAAAGAAGTAAAAGAATCTCAGTGATAGTGCTGCATTGAGTTTCTACTGTGGTAATTCTAATGCAGTAAAAGTTTCAGTGTTTAATTTAACATTACATTTAGGTTCATTCTCTTCTGTTGTATACTTTCCCTGCTGACCTGCAATAGGACAAAATTCAAAAAGTGCATTTTTCACCCAATGACTAACATGAACACACTTTTGTAGAGTAACACTATCACAGACATAAAATAGAGCTTTGAACCTTTCCTACATGCACCACCGCCAAAAGTCACAGTGTGGTCTTGGCATACATACACACACACACACACGCTCACGGCAGCTACAGTAGCGTATGGAATGGAAAAAGCTCCAAAACTTTTGCATTTGTGGTGCAAATTTGTCAAAAGCATCCAGCAGAGGCATTAATCATGGCAGGTCGGCAATCTGTGAATCATTATCGAGACTCTCTAGAGCTGAACGCTGCATGACTCAACCTCTCACAGTACTGTAAAATACACCATACATTTGTTCAGTTTATACACAAAATCCCCATATAAGTCATGTGTATGTGCCACTGCAATGATGTAGATGTTATTAGTGTACTCTGTGCGAGACAAGTTAATGATCCACGGTGACATACAGGAAGTGACTGGTAAATTCACATGGTTGCTGCATGCACATATGGCACCTATTTGCTTGATATGCATGAACTACAAACATTTGGGTTTTCCCTTCATAATAAAGACATTTTTTGTGGGTTTTTTTTTTTCTCCCCCGCTCTGTGAAGTTTGAAATGACAGCCACATCCTTTGCAGCCCAAAGGGAACGTAGCACCAGTCAATCGATTGATCACCGTGCACCCCAATCCTCGTGTCCTCTCCGTGGCCTCTGACCTCCATATCATCCTCTGACAGCTCCTACTGCTCCCTTCACAGCTCTGGGGTTTTAACCCTCCCCTGTGGAGACAGAGATGCACTCACTCCGCTTGCGTGTCACCACACTCTGGAGGCTTTGAGATCATATAGCGCAGCAATGGATACTCGGACCGCAGAGCAAACCCACGCACTCCTCCACACTTTGTTTGTCGCATTTCCTCCGTGCAACCACTAAAAACTGACCGCATGATATATCCTCCCAAAGGTGAGGTAAAGTGTTGCACGGATGCTGTGTTTTGGAGCTAAGTGACTCACCGGGGCTGCCACAGTCATTCAGAGAGATCCGGAGATCACAAAGAAAACATCAGTACTGTAAAAGGAGAGAGATGTCCTCAGGCCCTGACGCCTCTCCTACTGTTGATGGACTGTGGTACTTGAGCCACTGGAAAGATGCATGACTCTTCACGTGTTTCCACAGGGAATTAGTTGGGGGTTTCTCTTGAAAAACATGATTAAGCCATTAGGTTTGAATAAATATGCAGCTACGGTGGTAGTCTTGTAAAAAAAAATACCTACCACTCATTTTATAAACAGTAAAGGAGGAAATTTGTGCATTTTTTCCTCTTTTATTTTCTCGTACGTTTGTCTTTGAGCTTTCACCCTGCAGGCTCAAAAAGTAACCTTGCAGACGGGTGTGCTCGGGGCTTGGACACAGGCTTTGAAACCCAACACTGCCTGCCTCGAGCAGCCGCGGGGAGCCCATGAAAGTGATGTAATGGGAAGAGTAGTTTAGGAGCTATCAGTGGTGGGCAGCAGGGCGGAATAGGGGTTAGAAACCCAGATCAAATGGCTTAATTTCCACAGCCTTCGGGTTCCATTTGACATTAACTGCCCACCTGTCAAGATCAGCAGACCTTTGTTATGCTTATTAGCACGGTGACGTGTGGGCTGGTTCAGGATTTTTTCTCTGCTATGTGGTGTTGGGACTTGGATTTATTCAACTTTACTGAAGCATTTAAAGCATCAGGTACACAGGCACAGTTGGTTTCAATCTTGTCTGACTTCTACAATGCAGGGAGGTGGCGGTGCATAACAGAAGAGTAAAACAAGCCAAATAGCAAAAACTTGTACTTTACTGGGGGTTGAATTTTACACAAGCTGAATAAATCTTTCTTCAAAATAATCTGTGTAAAGCATGAAGGCAAGAAACCTCCATGTAACTATACTAACTCTCTAGCCGCGGCTGATGTTGGCATAAGTAGCCACCAATAATTTTTTTCTTAAAACGGGCAATAAAGAAATAAGCTGGATGAAGTCTACTCCAACTGGGGAGACTGTCTAGTACTGCACAGTACAGAGATTTCTGGAGCCTGTTTGGCCGTTGCTATGTGATCATTTGCCTTGTTAATGAACATGCTGCCAGAGGCTTTTCTAAAACAAGGTGAATTAAAGCCCAATTATAGCTTTCTGGGGAATGTATCTGAAATCGCAGTGGCTAGTTGTCATACTCTGGGGGCCATGCAAAGCCTGGTGGCAAAAAAAATGTGAAAACTCATATACCCAGTCCACACTGAGAAATGACCTTGATTTTAGTACTTACCATGTGAAAGCGCTGGTACTGAGAAATCTGACATCACAGATGCTAAGAAGCTTTAGCTCCTCATTTTACAATAAATCATACAGTCATCTTGGGAAATAAACAGCGAATTTGAAGTCAAGCGCTCGGAAAACTAAAGCACGCTGTTGTGTATCTCCCACAAGGTCTCGGAACAATATGTCAGATTGTTATCAGCTGTGTTTGGCCTTTTGGCCAAGTGCCTTTTGGACAATATATCACATGTCCCCTCTCTGCTGCTGTCAACGTGCCTCCTGGGCTGGTACCACAAAGTGCAATAACTGGAGAGAAATTTCTTCATCTAAGCACCAGCACCCCACCACCCACAACCCCAACCTCTCCCTCCAACCAGCCAACTCCCTTTTGTCCTGGATTGTTGGTAAGCTCCTTGCATTTCTGTGTCCTCCATGTGTGGAGGGATAAAGGAAACAGGGCACCACACAGACATCTGCCCTGCAGACAGGGTGTGAATGTATCTCTGCGATATGGATATTAATTCACTTCATATCCATTCAGTCTGTTCTATATGGCCTTTCATCCAACACTCATAGTGCTTTCGACACATCAATGCATTCAAGTCCCCTGACAATATATCCAATTGTTACAGTTACACAATGGTTGCATATGAACAAACCCGTGGTGTATACAATGCAAAACAGCAAGCTTGATAACCACGTGTGAATGACATTGTTGTGAGATACAGTAATGACATATAGTTGTTCTGTGAGCAAAACAAAAAGTGCCTCTTCTGTGCAAAAATGAATAAACAATCTGCTTCATGGCTTTGAGTTCTTTGCGGCTGTATCATATATTGGTGTTATGACGATATGGAACATTTCACACTCATTCTGACACTAGAAATCTGCAGTATATCTATTTTTTGGCAATCTAGCCCCACAGTCCTGCCAGATGAATTCTTGAATCCCTCCATCTGTAATATTTCAAGTATTTATCTGTTTCAGAGCTTATTCATTACTTTAAACTATTTCACCTGATTATTCATCACATTTAAATGTATCCCGACATGTTTTTATTTATTTATCCACTAATTCAAGCTATATCACCATTACCAATTATTTTTGCCCCTATTTCAACAATTTAAGCACTTTCAGACATATCACTGAGTATTTTAGCAAATGATTTTAGCCCCTCATCCACAAACTTCAATGCTTCTGCCATCATGCTCTCCTCACATGCGTTCAGATGTTACAGCTGAGCTTAGCTGAGCCGCTCTGCAGTATTTCCATGTAAACCTTGGCAACAGCAGAAGCACCTCTTGCTGGGAATTACTGTTGTGAATGATACAGCCATAACATGACAATATGGGCAATATGATGGCTAATTGCATCATATTTACATCATATGGCTGTGTACAGAGGCATCGAATGCACCCTTTATTTGGTAGAATTGGCAAGGTCTTTGTCCCTGTTACATAACCCATCTGTTACTCGACTGCAGGGTGCTGAGGATCACCTTCCAAACGGGAGAGCCAGCTCCCTCAGCAGTGCTGCTTGGCTTGCTTCACCACGAGCCACACCATCAAGTCTAATTGCTCGTTAAGTCTGCTCCTACAACAACAGCGTCATATTTCCGTGTTAGTTCAAAAAATACGGCCACTGCAATATTGACTTTGAGGCCAGTTTGGTGGCTGCCGGTGCTGGTTGATCCAGCGGTACGTCAGCCGAGGCCACAGAACAGATGCTGGCGCAGCAGCGAGTCTGACGCAGATCACAGCTGGCAGCTCTTTTTGCAGCCAGCCTGACAGGTTACATCAGTTATACAAGCAGTATTAAAAACAAGCCAAAAAAGCTTTCTGTGTATTTTCACTTTGAAATGACCTGAAGATGCTTTGGTACTGAAACAAATATCTTTGCCAGAGGGTTTCTATTAAAAAACCTTGATATAACCGCCAGACTTTGAAGCTCACGCAGAGTCAGTGAGATTCCACTAGCAGCAGCTCTACAATACATTTCATCTGAACTATCAATAAGCTCATGAACCTTGAATGTACTTGAACTACTTTAATCTCTCATAACTCCCTTCACCTCCTCTTAATAAATGTATGTTTTTTTTCTTTCTTACAGCCACTTTGTCTCAAATAAATACACAGTGAGCAGCAAAAAAAATTATGACAGCTGTTTATTGACAGTCATGGAGAGCTTAACTTTTCAAGGGGGCCAACATGTCTTTATCTACAGTTTTAAAACCCTCCAGAACCGTCTGTGGAGCGGTACCATCAGAGTAATTCCTTCATAAGAGCACTCTATTATATCAAACCTCCTATATACACTGATTTTATTTATCCTGTACTGTAATTTCACTGCATGGATATAAATTCCATTATCTCCACAGATGCAGCGTAAATTCCCTAAAACAAAAGGCTGTCATATTTATTTGTTGCTGCTGAATGTTGGAACAACATTTTGGCTTATCATCAGTATGAAAACGTTTGTGAATACACGGATAATCTCCATCTCTAAATATTAGAAATGGATAGCAGAGAAAACCAATCTCATTTTTGAAAGACAATAACCGATTATTTTTCTTTCTTTTTTTGTCCTAATGCCAGTGGATGAATAAACCATGAGAGGATTGGACATCTTTGCACCGTTAAATATTGATTGATTTCCAATGGGCATACCTTCAGGTTGATAAGACAAACACAAGGGAGGCTCACATAGCAAAAAACTAAATAAATCAACAGGGGAACTGCTTTGTTCGGCCGTTTATTTAAAAAACAGGACTGCTTGTCCTCATGAACAAATTGATATTATATACTTGTACATGAGGAATGCCTGCTGGCACCTCTATATTATACATTTAAACACAAAGAGCTTTTTTTTAAGGACCAAACCATCTCAGAGAGTAAGGAGTATTTACACACTATGAACAATTCCCTTGCTGTGTTCCATCTCACAATCAATTATTCAGCATGCGATCCATTTTGAGGCTGTATGAGAAAGAAAAAAAATGACTTGTGTACATAAATACATGCATGTGACACACCAATTCTTCCAGCAGCTCGGGATGCCCCTCAGCTTAGGTCGTAACCCTGTTGTAAAGCGTGTGTAGATCCACTTACTAGCGTGGCTGTGCAAACTGTGTATGCGCTGACACATATAAAACTTGGCGTCAGCAAAAACACACATAAACTGCGGGGGTTTTCCCCTGCACTGGCTCTGAATTACTATACTAGGTTGTATGCTTTAAACACTCTTGGAGTGTTGCTAAAATGTCTTGTAGAATGGCATTTCTGTTCTCCTTAGACACCTAAATGGGAAAAGAAATAAGAAAAAAACAATCAAATACTTGTTGGTAGTCTGAGCATAATGTGTATTTATACAGTGAATACAACTATAAATACTATGAGATCTGTGACAAATGCCTTCTCACGCACAACCTAAGCCTCTCAGGATACAGTGTCCACTATGAGATTATCAAACCACATGTTAACACCTAATCTCTGACCTACTGTCTGTAAGTGAATTTACCAATCATGTTTTCTAAAAAACTGTTTTTACTGTCTCATAACCTTCTTCTATACATTAACTACCCCCAGCACAGCGACTAGTTTGCATGACAATATCCATAACTGAGTCTTCCGTGATAAATTATTTTGACATTTGAGACCACCCTTTGTTGTTACATCAGTCACGCATGATTTAGAGTTAATCCTGCTATAGGAAAGGGATAATGCAGGGCATGCCCCCTCTGCGTTAGTGAGCAGACTGACTGCCCTCCTAAGACCAAGTGGATACAGTGTAAACAACAGTGTCCTTCAGCTATTGTGTGACTTAAGAGCTCCTAAACTGACCTAAATATCGTTTTTTTTCCAGAGAGTGCACTTGTATTTGTACTCACAGTGAAGACCTTGACGTCTCTCCTGCTCCGCACCTCCTCGACCAGACCCAGAGGTTTACCCTTAGGGATTGGGATGGTACCCAGGATTGTGCAGGAGGAGCTATCTAAAGTCTGTCTCACTGCCCTGATGAATGACTGGCTGAAGAGCTCCATTTTCCCAATCTCGTCAATGACAAACACCTTCCTGGTGCTCCCATCTGTGGACCCGATCTGGAGACAAAATACATTAACAATAAGCAAGTGCAACATCAGTGCAGGCTTGATGCTGGTTATACTTTAGAAATAAAAGCCAATATACATAAAAGCCACTGGGGCTGCAGCTCAAGATTACTGGTATCAGGTAATTTGTTGGTGATAACTGAATACATCAAAACTAAGAAAATGTCCAATGTATTACCTTATAATAGCAGATCGTTTCCCAATCAGCAGCCCAAAAACCAAAGATATTTAAGTCAAAGTGAAATAAAACAGAAAAAAGCAGCAAATCCTCACATTTGAGAAGGTAAAACCAAAGATGTTTTGGATCATTTTTTACTCAAAAAATAACTAACTGTTAAAATGGTCAATTAGTTGGTTCTGTCAATTATCTAACTGACATTTGACAAATAATTTCAGCACTAAAATCTACTTTGGATATTTAGTTTGCACAGAAAAGGACCTTTTCCAGGCACATGAGGAAAAAGCTCATCACGTTATTCCATGTATGTGAAACTCTCTGACTGATAGCATGACTACGACGATGTTTGCATGTTAAATGCGACGGGTGATCTGCGGTGATTAAAGAGACGTTTTAAGTGAGATGAAAGTGGAATATGAGCTGCCAAGGCAGAGACACCTTCCTTCACAGCGCATGTGTAGGCGTCACTCCAGGCTCACTTTACATGCCGGATTAATCACGGTCAGTGACAGCCAGACGGCACCATGCACACTAAAAATGTCACTATGGAATTTATGTGTTTGCAAGCTTCCAATTATTCCATCAATTCTGAGAAAATCAAAGGTTTGATGATTTGTAAGAAAAGGGAGTGTTTTTCCTTACTGTGATCTATCGATGAGGGAGAGTTTAAGAGGTATGTGCTGCCGTCTTACATTTCTGAAGAGGGGGAGCGCCAGATTTTCAAATGAAGGCAGGTCAACCACATACTGTCCGACTGTGTATTCCCGTCTGCCATGAGACGCGCCGGCATTGTCTCTGCAAGTCAAAACGAAGCGAGGGTGAGTCAAAACACAGTGATAAAAGAAAGCAGGTAGTCTTATTTGAAATGGATGACGACTCCGCTACCTGATTCTGGACAGATGGCCCCTCTCTCCTGTCACTGTAACAACATCAAAGCCGACTCTCCGGCCCCCCTCCCTGACCTCCTCTGTGTAAAACCCTTCAACTCCCACTCCTGATGACACTAAAGCCTCACAGGCTTTTTGGACCAGGGTGGTTTTCCCCACACCTGTAAAAAAAACAAAAACAAAAGACACTGTCAAACAATGCAGTATCACAAACCAGGGTACGTTGCATTACGGTAAAAACACATTTGAACTAGGGCTGGATAATTAAATGAATCATTTGAATCAATGTAATCAGTTCATCACAAAAATTGCAATTTAGCATATATATTATGCAGCATGTGTGACCCAGGGTTTAAACTGCTGTGTCAACAGTTTTACAAATTGATCCGTTGTCCTTTGTGCTGTCTGTCCTTCTAGCGGAAATTCATGTGGTACCGCTCCAACACATATTAAGTCTATTACGCAGTGTATCTTGAACTGAAGAATTATATTGTGAATTAAACTGCAATATCTGCCATAAAAAAGCAATTAGCTATTTCCCTATATCATTCAGCCCTGGTTAAAGCATGTTTAATCCATGCAATCAAGGCAAAGCAGCCTTTATTCGTTCATAAATGCTCTTCGTCTTCTACACTACACAAACCTATACTTCTGTGAAAAGGAATTGCTGAGGAGTATTGACTAAAAGCTTTTTAAAGGTGTTTAAAGGCTTATCTTTTGAATCGCATAAACAGCTTGAATAATAATCATTTTAAGTGTTTAGAGTTTGAAAAGGGCTTTGACAAAAAAAAAAAGCACAAGCAGGATACACAGACGAAATATAACAACAATAATCAAGACACGAGGTTGGAGTTAAGGTCAGATTAAGATGACGTTTAAACAAGAAGACAAAAATGAAACGTAATATGTCAGTATAAATGAATAGCAACGAAATAAATAAAGCAACAGGGCCTTATAATGCAACAAAGTGACTTTGTCAGCAGTAAATGTTATCACCTACATTCAATATTACAGAACAAGAACAGCTAAAACAAGCTAACTTTCATTAGAAACGTGTTTAGTGCCTCTTCACTGGGGCTTACGACAGCTAAGTGACTGCTTTGGATTTACAGCGACCTTCACTCCAACAGTACTGTGAACACTCGGTGTGAACGGTTACCTGGAGGTCCTGTCAGAAAAACGTGTTTGAACATCGTTGTTTTCTCCCTTCAACCGTCCAACGTGCTGCTGCGTCTCTTCCGTACACAGCGATTTGACGCATGCGCGGTAAGTACACTGTAACTTTATTTTAAAAAAGACAAAAAGCTAGTTTCTAAATGACTTTGTTTACGAGCATATACAACGTTGATAGAAACGGTAAAACACTAGGTAAACAGGTTTACTTGAAATATTTTCGGTAACATAATATGCATTAAATTCACAGGTTTGATTTCATTATTCTTTTTGGCATAATGGAAACAAAGAAATTAGCATCAGTAAGACTTTTGGGTTTTTTTGTTTGTTTGTTTGTTTTATTATTTCATAATTTCTAAATGTATTCTTGTATTTGATTATTTCATTATATATTTTATTTTAATTCATTTTATTATATATTTGCTTAAAAAAAATTACTTATATTTTATAAGCAAAAGGAACATCAAGCATATCATTGGTAAAAACATTGTGTTTCATAGACCCTGTCAGTGTTTTATTTTGCTTTACTTGACTAATATTTCTTGTGCATAGCGCAAGTTGAAGCAGCTTTTTAAAGCTGTAGCGGTGTGTATTTCTGCTGAAATTAAACATGATTAAAACTTTTTCAATCAATTTTCAAAACAAAATAAAAGTGGATAGCTATCCATGGATGAGCTATACCTGCTTTATCATATAGAAGTATGAAGTAAATATAAAAACCAAGACAACGCAAGATGACAACATGTAAGATCAATTCTAAAATGAAATTAAAATTTAAAAAATAAGTATTAGGACCACTCAGAGCACCCTAAAGCAACTGAAAGCATGCATGAGTTGAAATTTTTCCTAAGATGTCAATGGAGGAGGAACATTTGATTGAAAAAGGAACGCTGTTCCAAGCTTTGGAGCTGCCACTGTAAAGGCTTCACCTCTCTTATCTGCTAGCCTTAATTGTAGAAGAGGTAACAGCAGCTGCTCAGAGGATCTAAGAGGCCTTGAGGTAGAGAATTATCAGAGAAGTTCAGAAATGTACCCAGGTGCCAATACAAATGAGGAGAAATGTGCTTTGGCCTTGAATGAACTGTTTCAGTTGCTCCATATACAAGCTTTTTCTCAGGAGATTATTGTGGATTAAAGGATCCTTTTCTCTAAACTAAAGCTTCTTGTTTGTCTTTCACTTTTACAGATGGAGGTCTATGCTTTGTATTCCGTGCATTTTTGTTTATGTATAAAAACAAAAGTCTCACTTTGCTTATGTATAATAATGACCCTCAGTGGTTAATATAGGGTTTAACATTGTAATCTGAAAAAGGATTAAAGCTGTGAAATAAATGTAGTGGAATAAATAGTACAGCATTTTCCTCTTAAACACTGTGGAGTTTAAGTGTCGGGTAGAACAAAACTGAAACACTGCCTAGCACTACGGTGCAGTTGTTCAACTGTATTATGCAAAACACACCACACCCACTTTCAGATGAATGGAATAGCTGCCTGTGTTTTTCATATCAGACAATATCAAAGGAAAATGCAAAGTAGGAGGTGGGATTTAAAGAAAATACCCTGAAATTAGAAGCTGCTGTTGGAGTTTTGGAGATTTTAAGCTTGACACAAATCTACCCTGAAATGAAAGCTTATATGTTGAATGATTTGCATAAATGGCAAAGAGAGATTTTCCATCCTCTTATATGTTACTAATAGACTCGTGGTACAACACTTGTGATTATCTAGTTGCCTATGAATACCCGACAGAAAATGGTCACCATATTTGTACAAAAACTTGCCTTTATTAAAAAGATCGGCAGACATCACAAGTGTACAATACAACAATCATCTGTTTGATTTGATTAAAGGAAACATTACTAGAATGTATGTTTTTCTTTTCTTTACATAGTATACCCAGGGAGTTTGCTAGCCACTAACTGAGAGATATGCTGATACTCCTTCCTGAAATCCAAAGATCCAAGTTCATCCTCCAGTTCCCCCACCTCCTGGGGTTCAAACGAGCATCTGGATTCCACAGAAAATCCTCGAACTGTGTCGCTGTTCTTGGTTGACTCGGCCCTCTGACCTCTTGATGATATGAAGCTCTCACCACCAGAGCTCCATTCCACTCTGCTACTCGCTGCTGTCAGTTTTCTGGAGCATGAAGTCTGTAAAGAAGCCGACCCGCCTCTGTCACCTTCGGAGGAGGATAAGCTGAGGGTGTGCGTCCGAGGTCGAATGATGTGCGTACCCCTCATAGCACGCTGTGGAGAGCTCGAGGCTTTGACGGGCACGGGGAGGACGGCTGCTCTCCTCTGGACACCTTCAGATCCTGAGTCTGAGTAGAACAAGACAGGAGACTTTGGAGTCTTGGTTCTAAAGGGTTCAGGGCTGCTCATAGGGTCAGGAGAATAGGCATCACTGGGTTCAAGACTGTTAAAGTCATCAGCGTAGTCGGCCTCCTCGTTTTCTTTCCTGCTCAGGTTTGAAAATGAAGAGTTTGGGCTGCTGCATCTGCTGCTTCCTGCAGATTGAATTTTCTCTCTGCCCCTGTCAGACTCAGACTGTGACTGATCTGCTTCGCTGTGATGCTCGTTCTTGTCTTTGCTTTGGGGAACACTGTCACTATCCATGCCGGGGATGTGAATAAATTTCAAGTCTCTTTCAGAGAGGGAAGATTTTTCTAAAATTCTCTCAGTGCCTCTGTCTTGCCTAACATGAACTTTCACATGGTGGTTTTTCTGCTTTAGTGTGATTGTTCCTCGCAGTGCAGAGTCCACTGTGACGCTCTCTATCACTGTCTCTGTGTTTTCACTGAGGTTGGAGCTCTGCTTTAACACTGATTTTCTTTTGCTGGACTTTAAGGTTTTATTACTTGGCTTTGTCTTTCCTTTGACCATACTTGACTGTGTTTCATTCTGTATTAACTCCTGGCACTCTCTATGTTTTACTTTGAGGGGAGAAATTCGCTTCAGTCTTAGATCAAATGTTTTAGTTGTTCCATATACAAGCTTTTTCCTGGGAGATTTACTGGAGCTTTTATTCTTGATTAAAGCTTCTTCTTGTTTGTTCACTTTTACAGATGCAGGCCTAGCTATAGGTGTAGAACAATTTCTGGGGGGATGTAAATGTTTTAAATGCGGACTCGTACCTTGTCTAGCTTTCTGCAGTGACTTGGTCTGAGCATTTTGTGGGGTGTTTCCATGTCCAGCTGAAGGTTCTGTGGAAGCAGGCTTGTAAATCCAAGCTAGACTGGGATGAACTGTCAAGGACTGCTGAGGAATCTGCCCATTCAACTGTGACAGCTCAACAAGAAGAGCATTTAGTAGCGGCAACTGTCGCACAGCTTCCCCAAGGACATTTGGGGTCACCCCACTTGTTTCTTGGTTGCTTGACACTTTTGCATTGTGTCTCGCTTTGAGGTGCATCACTGAACCTCGAGCTTCCTTTTCATCCTCCTCATCCTCAGAGCATGAATCTTGTAATGTAAAAGCTTCTGAATCTATGTTCAGTAATTTGTAATCCACTTCTTCTGCTTTGCTTTTTTCCTCTGCAGAATTACTGTAGTAAAGATGTGGGGGACAGAATACGGTTAAATCCTCTTCAAAATGGTTTTCATTTTGGCTTGTTGGTCTGCGTTCAGCATCTTCGTCCTGCTTATTCTCATTTAACAAGATTTTCGCATTAGCTAGTCCGTTGTTTTGAATGTCTCCGCTTAGCTCAGGCCTGTCCTGTATTAATGAACACATATGACCACACTCAAGAGGCAATGATTCTGTGGATTTGTTTTTCTCCTTTACACGTTCTTGTAGTCCTCCACTTGTGCTTTTCAGGCCCGTCCTCTCAGTGATATGTGGCAGTAAGCTTGCTCCCAGGCATAACAGTTTATAACTCAGAGATATCGATCCAATTTTGTCCCCCGTGAGGTTGCATATACCAACGATCCCCCTTTCTCTGTGAGAGGAGGGAGTAGAAACACCACGCTCAGTCACATCCTGTCTGATCCTGTCCATCACTTTGGCCAGTGATATTAGACAGGAGCCAACTAATCTGGGGGTCTCCTCTTTTACATCCAACACCATCGCATACAGAGGTGTGTTACATAGCTGGACGTGCAGTGACATCAGGTTCATTTTGAAGAAGCAAGACTTGCCTCTGTGAAAAGCGTATTCTCCCCGCTTATCTCCTCCATTCTGCTCGGGCTGGTAGTTAATACTAGCACTGCTCTGCCGAGGCTGATAAATTAGCAGCGTTGGGAAATCAAGCAGTCTCACTCCAAGAGCCAGCTCGTCGGAGACTTTACAGTGTTTCTCGATTCGGATATTTTCCACCAGCAGCTCAAATGAAAACAGAGTCTCTGAATTATCGGTGATTTGCTGTCCTGGCATCTTGAAAGCTGTTTGACCACAATAGAAGCAACTAATAAGCTGTTAGCTAATCCGCAAGCTCGACCTTTTTAGCTTCTGTCGGCTCCATGGAAACATAAAGTTGTCGCGAGTATTTTACGTCATAAAATGCCGCCGGGTACCTGGGAAATGTAGTTTGAGCTTTTAATACACTAAGCATTGATTTAAACTAGAATTAATTAGTCTCTTGATAATTTTCTTATTTTTTTATTATCAACCAAATGGTGTATTTAATATATTATTCAATAAAAGTAATGGTGGGAGTTTGTTGACAGGTTTAAGCGAAAGAAAGGAGAAAAAACAACAACCGCAGAATGACTATGAAGAATGAATAAGTGGTGATATTAGCATAAGTCGAATACAAATTTAATAAATCATTTTTCAAGTAGTTTAAAAGAACAACTTTTCTGCAGTTCACCAGGTGGTGCCACTGTAGGGCTTACTGGGCTTATGTAGACTAAAATAGTCCAGTGGTGAAAGCCAGCAGACTTAGTTAACAAGCTCATTATTCGCCTCTAGTCTGTGTGACGGACATTAAGTCTGCTGGTTTTCCTCTTTCAATATCAGCCGACAAACCTGTGTATGGGTGACTAACAATTAGTCAGAGCAGACCGGAGCGGTGTCAGAGTATGTCCCGGGGTGGGCGGAGTCTGTGTCCGCTGCGTGTTGTCATCACGGAGGTAGGTGCTGGATGGATATCGCTGTGGTCCGTACGACTTCAGTCTGGAGGCTGAACGAGGGAGATGTGAGAGCGACTACCGCCGCTTCAGCTGGGGTTTTTTTTGGGAACCCATTAAAGGATAACTAACAGAAGCCGGACGAGACGCTGTTCACACTGGGAAGGTAAAAACAAAAAACTGGGTCTTTTTTTCTGCTTCTCAACCGAGCGACAAAGTAAAAAAAAAAAAAAAAAAAAAAAAGTGCGACTGTAGCTAAAAGTGTTGGAGCCACACGGCGCGAGTGAAGCGAGGGGAACCCACGGATTTATCGGTGCTTTACACTGAACACAAAGGATAAAGTTGTTTCCGCGCTGGTGTAATTTGAGGGAGGAACGTAAAATGGCAGAATGATATGATGTTTCAGCAGCAGACTATCTATAGCCTGTGTCTGTTGCTGCTCACTTCAACTTGTTTGTTTATTGACCACCAGACTATGTTAACCTTAACATAAATTCAGTTGAGTTTTTATGTTATATTTCGTTGTCTAACTGATACCACACGTTTAGTTCTAGGTGACTGTGGTATGCGCATGTTGGAGGAGTGGTGCTAACTGGACTGGGTTTGCACAGAAATATTTTTGAATGAATTTGCTCAGTGGCGTGCTTCCATGAAAACGGTGGGGGGCGATAAAGGCATCATTGTCCAGCTGGTAATAAAGCCCTCACATGCTTACTGTAGGTGAAGCCCACAGCTATACCCCCACAGGACATATTCCATTTTCTGTGTGTTTTTTATGTATGTAAGCTGTTGTCTTCTGTTTACTTGGGGTATTTTTTTTTTACTCCTTTTCTGCAGCAGGAGCTTGTTAGTATGTCCAGACAAAGAGCAGTTCCCCTAACATCATAGTTGTTTGGATTGTCCATAAATAATACCTGGCGCTGCACTTGTACACAACATATACAATCTTGCTTTATTGCTGTGGCTTATTCAACATACACTGTGCTGTATACTCCCCAGAGAGAGCAACTCAAATATTGTTTGTCTTCCAGCACCATATCCTTTGCTGTCTTCCTGCAGGAAGTTTAGCCTCCACTGTAACTAAATTCCCAATAAAGGGAAATAAATAGGCCCAGTCCTTTGCTGGTGGCAAGCTGCAGACACAACTAGGCTCTGTTGAGTTTAAATGCAAGTTTCCATTGGTTAATTTTCAGTTTATTTCCTTTTGGCTGTGCAGATCCCATCTGAACAGATTAAGCATACAGAGTTTTCTGCTCCTGGAGCGTTAAAATCAATAAGGCACCATTATTTTTCACAGGGTTTTATGTCTGGGAAAGATTAGTTTTCTGCAGGGCTGTGCTGAACTAAGTAGGCACAGGAGTGTTTTTAAGATGGCTAAGATATGTTCATGGCCTGCTATATCATTTAACATTTTTCCTTTAAATGCTTGGCTCAATTCCAGCTACCGCAGGTCTGCACATTGGGGAGGAAATCTTTCAACTGACCACTAACCTGAATAAAGACATCCATAGTGATGTGTGAAAATCATGCTCCTATTGTGTACAAAAGCAAAAAAACAAGCCTGTTAATCTGCTCATTTTCCCTGTCATCATGCACATATTTCTGTCAGTCAACCCATTTTCCAGTGGATTCATGCCTTTCCATATTCTGTTTTTGCACCAAATACTTATAGGATCTTTAATTTAAAGTGTTTCATTCAATTCCTAGATTGTTTAATTTTCTGATAGAAAGTCTGTGGTTTTGTTACGCTGCCGATGGGACTGTAGGCTTTTTATTTTTTAAAAAATTTTTATACAAATAGATGAAAGATACATTAAAGGAAAGATTTTCCCTAATGTTAAAAAAAATGAGGCTGTCTACATACCCCATCTAACCCACTGCCAGCAGCACACTCCTAGAGGGAGACCTACACAGGAGCCACGATAATCACAGTGCCAGGATAAGTCTTTCAGTCTTGAACAGAGATCTGTTGTATTCTGCCATTAACAGGCTGCAGAGGGCCCTGAAGAAGAAATATGTTCTCATCTATTTCTAACAGCACCTTCTGCATGACTAACCAGACAATGGGTAATTGAGCTGGATAGATATGTCTTTCAAAATAAAGTTATGTGCACAATGCGTGCTCAGCTGAACAATAAGGCACCTGTCAGGTCTGGAGGAGAAACGGCTTCCTGTGACATGCCCACAGGCCATATCCAGTTGTTATCGTTGCAGAGCTGTTTAGGATATCTTCTGGCCAAGCGGGCTTGGAGACGCCCAACTCCAGTTACAGCCGTTATCTTTGGTTTGTAACACAGAAATTGCCTGGAAAGATATTTTCATAATATACAAATTACTTACCAGTAGTGGCTGATTTCAGACGTCTTGCTAGAACACCCACACCACTGCGCCTGACACTGGCTGGTCTCATGATCTTTCCCCTTGTTTGTCTCTGTTCCCACGGTGCTTTGCTACCAGTGTGCTGACTGGTCATGATTTGGAGAACATTAAAGGTTGGTTTAGACCATGTTTTGTTTTTTTTTAAGGAGTGATGCATTTCTACTTATTGTACTATTGTGCCATAGAATCAAACCATGTAGTGTGCACATTTTTAACAGATCCCACATACCGTGCATGTGACGAGGATCAGGAAACCCGCTCTGGTGTGTGCCAGCTGACCGGCTGGCTGTCTGGCTGGCCAGGAGTCACAATAGGCCTCCCCAACCAAATCCTGTTGCTTCAAAACCAACCAACCAGCAGACAGGGGATCACATGCTGCCAGCTCCTGTTGTGAGAGTCAGTCTTTCTCTCTGTCTTTTTTGTCAGGCTTTGTTTTGATGGCAGTCTGGATTTATGGAAGGATTTAAGCCCACTACTCATTGTCACGGAAAGCATAGATGAAGTCATTAGGATGATGTTTTCTTGTAAATTTATCACTCATTCCACGAGGGGTCTGTTTGTGATGGATGTGGGTGGTTTGTTGAGTGATGCTCAGTGTAGACACAGACTGGAAATAAGCCTCTCTTTTAATTTTGGATGTCAAACTTGTAACATCATGTAAAAGCACTAGAACTGCCTCCTCCATTGCCAATAATACCTCCAATTAATTTTGGAGTAGAAAAGCAACTTGCACTTATTTCTCTGAGAAATGAAATTGAAACTTTAAATGATCTTGATGCTCTCGCTGCTTCGAGATCAGCATGTTGGATCCTCTTAGGGTCATCGATCATTTTTGTGTGTGCTGCACATTATACGACTACTCGTGTGTAATCAGCGTAATGGTATTAAGACGCCATGTTTAACAGCTGGCTCAGGCTCAGGCGCTGGCGTATGTCATGTCGGGGAACCACAGTAAGGCACCAACAGCCCTTCCTAGCACCATATTTCACTCTTATGTGATGCAGAAATTAGACGTTATGGCCTGCGGTGTGTTTCCTGGGGACATGCTCTACATGGATTGATGCCCTTATGTGCCACTTTGTTTGTTTGTGTCTAGTAGATGCATGGTTGGTTAATCTAACCTCTCTGATATGGTTAAGCCTTACAGTAGATACAGTGGATTAGACACAGATGGTCGATGTCGGATGTATGACTAGGAATCACTTCATTCCACTGTTTTTTTAGGGACAAATGGGAGAGTTTTCCATATCTCCGTGGTTTCCTTGTTTAGGATTAGATGACAATGATGTTAATTATTGCCATCTCAATAAAAGCTGCACCAACTCGTCCCTTTTGTCTTTTACCTCTTGCATCTGTTCTGCTCTTCAGTTTGCCACCTTTTTGCTGCTCGCCCAGTGGCTTGCTGTCGTGCCAGGCGCATTTGAGTGAAAAAAAAAAAAACATCACCATGGCTTGAGGGGGAAGCTTGCTGGATGGAGCAGATGGTATAATGACTGAAGTCAAATGCTGAGCGCATCAGTGCTGGTGAGGACCCTGTCAGCCTCTGGTGAAACACAGCAAAGGACTGGGATGTAGGGGTTAAAGGTTTGAGCCCTCCGAAGACCAACTTTGCCATCTCTGTCTGCTCATGCATAGTCCGACCATTAATGGAGCAGATTAGGCTTCAGATAACTTGAGCCGGAGCAATGGATGGTCTATTCTTCTGTATGTAAGCCTTTTTGTTTTAGTAAAGACAATGAATAACCAGTGACATATTGCATTTTTCTATGCATTAGATGCGTGTTGCGGTCATGAACACATCATCATGTGATCAGCTTAGACCAACTGTGACCTTACTGTAATTTATGACCTTTTGAAACCTCACATGGTTTTCTGGACTAAGCTTCATCCTACATACATGACTGAAATATGGAGCTAAATATGATT